ATTTTACTGCTAAATTACATTTGTTTTCTCTGCGAAAAAGCGGCCAAAAGGCAAAAAGTTTAAACTCAACACTGACAACGAAAAGTAAAAAATGTTGTTTGCATTTCGTCGTTGAAAATACATAAAGGCATCTCGTTTTCGATGCTAACCAAAAATTAGTAAAATACAATATTTGAAACGACTAAATCATTTTAGTCTCTTTTTATATTTTGTATGTTTTTTTATTTTTTTCGACTCTAATTTTTTTTTACTTTCATAACATATATCATTCACTGGTTTTAGGTACCCACGTTCCATTATTTCCATTAAAGAAGCGTTTTATAATTATAATTCAATTAACAAGAATATTATTTAAAATGATTAGACAAAATCAATTTTTTTTCCAATGAACTGCATTTAAATAAATACTACTGATTTAAAATTGGCAAGAAAAGTTTTAGAATATTATTTGAAATACGTCATCGGTCCTTATTTCTTTGAAGATGAGCAAGACGGTCAATGAAAAAAGGTAACAAACGATGAAACATTATTTCTTTTTTCCTCGATTTAAGCATAAAGCATAAAGCATCTGGAAAACATGTTTTTCCACTAATTGCCATTTGCCATACAGCACGTGAAACACTGATGATGAAATTTACGTCGCCAGATGGATAGAACGAGGAGGGCCAATTCTGTGACCTCCTCGTTCTCCAGATTTAAATCCACTAGACTTCTGCGTGTGGGGATATTTAAAATTATTGGTGTATGCAGTCCCAATTCATAATGTTAAGGAATTAATGCCGCGAGTGAATCCTTAAGAAATAAAAATTTTTCGAAAACATTAGAAGATCTGAATATGAAAAAAGGCGTTAGGATATGTGTAAAAGAGAACGGCGCGCCGCGGCGGTCATTTTGAGCATTTTCTAAAATAAAAGTTGTTGAAAATTGGAAATAAATTGCATTATTGTTGTAGTTTTTGTAGTGTTAATTAACTAGAATTTATTAATTTTTCTGGCGGGACATTTTTAATAGCGTTTTTCCCGAAAATAGTTAGCTCTATGACTTTGTAACAAGAGCATCTTTTTTACAAAAATTAACTGAAAAATTAAAAGATCGAGAATTTAACAAAACCCCACAAAAAGTCTGTAAAAAACACGTTTGGAAAAATCACAAAATTTGACTAGAGCTAGATTTATCTAACTTTACTTTCTATTTTAAATAATTATTATTAAAATTGTACGTTTTAGGTACCGTTTACCAAAAATATGGTTTTTTGACTCACTTTCCAGCCTAGTGACAATAACTATTAAGGTTGTTGTGGTAAACCACATATACTCTCTAAAAATGAAATAGTCAAAATTCTACTATTTGAATTAGTACAAGCATTTTTTACTAATAAAATAGTCGTTTTCACTTTTAAATAGTTGTTTTTTACTAAGTTAATAGTTAAAGTTTGACTAATTTAAGATTAGTCACCATCTTTGACTATTTCTGAGAGTTAAAAGTAACTAATTTATTTAATCGTTTGCGGCCAACAACAAAGTATTATTTGAATTAAATGCATATACTTAAGATCCATGGTTAAATTACCCATAAAAACAAATAAAGATGCAAAAAGTTTAGCTCAAAACAGCAACACAAATAATATATTCAACTTTAAAATATTATAAACAATATTTATTGACAAATAAAATTGATTTTTAAAAGAGCGGCTGATAGCCGAATGGGTTATGACAACAGCAAAATTAGTAGTTTGGAGTAATTAAATTGTAAACTTTTAACTACATAATATATATTACTACATAATATATACTGGGTAACTATTCGAATAAACAATTTACTCTCTTAAAATGAATTAGTCAAAAATATTTAATTTTTAAGTCATATTTGACTAATTGTCATAGCGAAAAAGCAGTCACTAATAATTATAATTAGTCAAATTTTACTGAATGAAATAGTCGAATTAGTAGATTTAAATTTAAAAAAGTTTTGACCCGCTTGTCAAGCTGTTGTCATAACCAATGTGTAGGGTTGGGAAAATTTCACTTTTTGCTTGTACTTGAAATTTCACATGAAATTTTCATGACATTTATGAAATTTATTGAAACTTTCAATAAATTTTAATCACTTTAAGTGTAATATAATAATATTGAAATAAGCCCACTCAGGGACCATGGCAAATTGCCTCTCTTACCTTCTACCCCTCTGTGGGCCCCTGACCACCAATAATATAAATAGTAAATATTTATGTTTATCACAAATTTCTTGAGACTTCCTTTTAAAATATTTTTAAAAATTACTAAAACTAAGAGAGATATAGCACTTTTTGGTAAGCTAATGAGATTGTGCCACTTTCATTGTTTTATATTTTTTTATATTTATTATTTTTATATATTTTACTGAAATTTTAGGAAAATTAAAGAAACTTCATCAACATTTTATGAGTCAAAGGCATTTTTTATCCGTTTTCCGATGCAATTATAGCAAAAGTAAAAGTTTAAATTAATCATGACTTTTAAAAAAAATTTAAAGTCTGATTTAATTTAAAAATTAAATTGGTAACTGAATTAAATTATTTAAATTAATTTATGCATATAAGTAACAATAATTACTTATAGTGTATCCAAGCCGAACTAAACAAAAACGCCCAGACGCTTGATAACTCGTTCTTATTGGTCGATTCGGAATCTGTTGTAAATTATTATTAAAGGTCCCAGGGGAGGCCGCATGTGAAATTTATGCGAAATTTTCAGTAAATTGCGAAACTTTCAATGAAATTTCTGAAAGTTTCACAGGCAATGTTGAAATTTTCATTTGAGGCTATCAATCACTCTTATAAAAATCAATTTTATTTGTCAATAAATATTGTTCATAATATTTTAAAGTGGAATATATTATTTTTTTAAAGGAATTAGTTACTTTTAACTCTCAGAAATAGTCAAAGATGGTGACTAATCTTAAATTAGTCCAACTTTAACTATTTACGTAGTAAAAAATAACTATTTAAAAGTGAAAACGACTATTTTATTAGTAAAAAATGCTGGTACTAATTCAAATAGTGGAATTTCGACTATTTAATAATAATATTTAATAATATTTATTTATTTCCATGGAACATACATAAATGTGTTGAAATAGTCAAAAAACTAAACCTAAAAACTAAAAACTAGAAAGTCTAAAAAGACAGCACTAAAAATTTACCAACAAACATTAAGTTAAAAACTCTGATAATGTTAAAAGCAATTTTAATTCATTTTTAAAAGTATTAATTTTAGAAATTCTTTTAATATTGCGAGGTAGTAAGGTAAAGGCTCTAGGACCCGTAATATCTGGAGTTCTTTCACTAATATTAAGTCGAACATGACTGTGGGTAAAAGGCATAAGGGAATAAGTCAAAAAAGCAATTTTTCAGTAGAGCCTTAAACGCATTCGCATTAATTCAGGAAACATATTTATGGTTAGCGGGTATACCCTTTTGTTAGCACATGGCATAAGCTAACAAAAGCGTATACCCGCTAAACATAAATAGGTTCCCTGAATTAATGCGAACACGTTAAAGGCTCTATTGAAAAATTGCTTTTTTTGACTTATCCCCTTATGCCTTTTACCCACAGATGAGGTAGTCGGTAGTTTAGGTTATGTCTTTTGTGATAATCGCAATTTTTCGAAAATTTGTTTTTATTATTGAAAACATATATACATAATTCAAATACATAGAGACTGGCCAAAGTGAGTATATTATATTCTCTATAAATACTTTTTTACAAGTATGTTTGTTTGAGAGTCCAAAAATGCAACGTATAATTAGTTTTTGAGATATAAATACATCCTGGGCGGACGCGGCATTACCCCAGAAACATACACAATATCTTAAACGTGATTCAACCTGAGCATAGTACAAACCGATCAATGGGGTAGTTAAATTTTTTCTGACCTATACTTTTTATGGTTTTATTCAAAGCGTTTTGTAATATTAAACATTTCTGTGAAATCAGAATTTCAATTGAGTTTACCGTTTTCGAGATATTTACAAAAAATATAAATTTTTATGACGTCACAAACCTCGCCATGTGACCAACATTCTAAGATTTATATTGGTTGAAAATTACCCTGTTGTCAAGTTGTCTTGTTAATGATTTCATTCGGTTATGTCAGAAAATACCCGAAGAGGTTATGTACAAATACTGTCACTGTCAGTTGAGTGAAAGATGGTCACCAAATTCATTAAGTAGGTACCTATCTTCCTTATTACGAGGTATCATATTACTGTTTGATATTTTAGAGTCCAAGATATATCTAAAAGAATATAAAGAACTAGGCATTATACTAATGAAATGCATTTACGGCAAAATATGATTATAATTGTAGGTACTTACTTTATTTGTTTAAAATCTCCAATGTTCAATGTAACCAACCATTGCACAAGATTTCTCTGCTTTGGAGTCCGTTATTAATAAATCACTTATCTAATATCAATTACAAATAACATAACAATAACATTGATTTTCAATAATCTAAAAAAAAAACATAACCCGAAAAAAAGAAACGTCAAAAAATCAATTCTTCTTCTTCTTCTCAACTAAAATTATAGATCAAGTGGTTTTAAAACTAAAATATTATAACGTGGCGCCATCTATCGTAAGAATCTTAAACTAAACACACTGGCAACCATAGAAAAAGCTGGCAACGTTGTCAATAGCCTAGTGACGTAATTAGGAGATTTTTTTTTGTAAATATCCTGAAAACGGTAAACTCAGTTGAAATTCCGATTTCACAGAAATGTTTAAAATTACAAAACGCCTTGAATAAAACCATAAAAATTATAGGTCAGAAAAATTGGTCCCTGTTAAGCACCGTTTTTAGGTTACTAAACAAAAATACCAACGAATTTAGCTTATTCGTTGGTATTTTTGTTTAGTAGAATTTCATTCTAAGAAAGTAGTATCTCAAAACCACTAACTTTGAATTACGGCAATACTTTACTGCCAGTGCAATTCACCTTCTTTCTTTTATTTTCGCAGTCCCGATTTGCTTGCCCCACCTCAGCGAAGATTTCACAGGTCGAATGGCGACCGTCACCGGCTGGGGGCGGCTCAAATACGGCGGCGGCGTCCCTTCCGTCCTGCAGGAGGTGCAGGTCCCCATCATGGAAAACAACGTGTGTCAGGAAATGTTCAGGACGGCAGGACACAGCAAGGTCATACTCGACTCGTTTCTCTGCGCTGGCTATGCCAACGGACAAAAGGACTCTTGTGAGGTGAGAATATTTTTACCCAATTACCTTATTTTTTTCATATTTCAATAATTTTTATTCATTGCATTCTTATTTTTGTCACAGGCAAAATAATCGATCCACATGAATTTCAATCGCATTTAACTGTCCGATTTAAAGGAATATTGTAAATAAATTAATGTAGAATTGCTCACATTTTAAAAATTTACATCATGGGCCCTACCTAGCATTAATTGTAAAAATGATTATAATAAATTTGTAATTTGGTTTGTCCAACCACAACCATTAATATACAAAGTTCAGCTTATACCTTTTTTCACAATGAACAAGCTGAAATAATAATTAAATATAGTTTTAATTAAATATTAAATAATTAACCACTCATTATGATATTTGTGACCTTAGATTATAATAATTAAATATAGAAAATACATATGTATTTAAATAAACAACACTTTCACAAAAACTGAATTTATATAAAATCAATGGATTATTGAAGAGTTAAATTCACTCCCTTACAACAATAAAAGAATTCAAATATCCTCTTCAAGGTATCCGGAATTTTGTTCGAAATAAATTTGTTCGAAAGAAAATTATTCGAAGGAAATTTGTTCGAAAAAATTTGATCGAATGGAAATTTGTTCGAAAGAAATTTGTTCGAACGTAAATTTGTTCGAACGGAAATTTGTTCGAAAATTGTTTAATTTAAGCTCATTTAATAAAATAAAAACAATTGTAATCCTTTTTGAAAAGATATTCTATTCGCAAGGTAATTTATTATTCAAAATATTAAAATAATTTTAATCCTTTTCGGAAGGTATTGTATTTGCAAGGTAATTTATTATTAAAAATATTAAAATAATTGTAATCCTTATTTATCTCTGCATGTACCTAAATTAGTATAAATTCCCTTACAACAATTGACAGCCTTAATTTATCTTGCTATTTCTTCGATTGAACATGGCTCTAAATTTTATTAAAAGTTCGAAAGGCAAAAATCGTTTGTCTCTCAACGGTTTCATTTACACTTCCGACAAAGTTAGTGAAGACAGAATTTATTGGAAGTGTAAAAATTTAAAAAAAAATTCCTGTAAAGGACGTGCAATTACATCAGGTGAAACAGTCATCAAAGAAAATAACTTGCATAATCATTCAGGAGATGCAGCAGGTATTGAGGCCAGAATTGTATATGGATCCATGAAGCAAGAAGCAGAAACCGGCCGTGATCCTCCTCATCACATTATTTCTAATATTTCTACTCAATTGAGTCGAGCCGCTGCCACTCAACTTCCTAGTGTTAAAACAATGAAGAGAACGATACGAAATGTAAGGAACAAGATAGAAGCTGGCCCTGTTACTCCAAGACACCGAGCCGATATTACTTTATCAACAAATTTTTTTCGAACAAATTTCCTAGAACCCCTCTTCAAACAGCCAACCCTAACTGTCTCAAATCTACTTTCTTCTCTAGGTTTTTAACACGCTCTTTTTATGTTTATTTTTAAGAATAGGAACATAAACCAAATTGCTTATTTGGTCTTTCTGTAGCGAACCCTCAAGTGGTGGTCTAGATGAGTCATAAATTAAAATAGCATAATAAACAAAATAATTATAAAGTTAAAACCTATACATAACACCTAATACAATTTTAAAACAAATAATAAAATTTTATCTCATATTTCGTAAAGCTTAAAAATTTAAACTACCAAATGCCTAAAGCACAAAATTCATTTTTGGCATTTCCACCTCATTTAAATATTCTTTAACGACTTTCGCAATATGCGGTCGAGCGTTAACACAAGGCTTAACACTGCTTTATTAAAATAAAAAATCGCCTACGAATTAACGGCTAAGGAAAAACATCAAAGTCATAAGCAACGCGTTGCTAAAAGAAATTTATTATTGATAAGAATGTTTCCTTATTGAAAATTATTGATAAGGTTAAAATACCCCCACCGACTTTTACCGTTCTGCTGTCGAGCTTTGACCGTCCATCCGGGATTAAAGCAATGGCTTTGGCAACATCAGTTAAAGAATATCCGTTTTTAAAAGTAAGAAGACACCTTAAAAGTAATACATTAATTTACAAAAAACAATCTGATAGCTTTTAAAGCCGTATATGACATGTCCAAGTATGGGATATAATCTGTAAGATGATTAAACAACACTTTCAATGTCATCCTCCATAGTTACCTTAGTTCTTCGTACAGAAAAATTATTGGAAACTGCAATGTATTTAAGAAAACCATATTTTTCACAAAAATAAAGATATCGAGGTAAACCAAAATTAAAAATTTTAATCATAATTATTAATAAAACTAAATTTAGAACAATATTCTGTTTCGCTACTCTAGTGTCTTAAACTTATGGTAAAAAACATAATTTTGTTTAAACCTGTACATTAAAAATGTACGTGGGTGAATATATTAAGATGTCCCCCAAGTGAAAATAATTATTTTTTATTTTTGGTTGTTTGGGAAGCCACCAGGTCTAGTAATAACATAACATAAGTGGTTCTGCACTAATGCAAGAATTTTAAGAAATCATACATTTTGAATATTAGAGCTTCATGGAAGATAACTTCACGGAGGTTAGGATTTCGTATGTTTTTTTAAACATCCCTTTGTATATTTGAAATAAGTTATTGTATCTTTTGACACTTTAATATTTTTTATAAATACAATTGTACATACATAAAATATTTATAAAAAATCTACTTACTGAGATATTACACTTCACGGTGGATAGGTTTTTAAATAGCACATTAATGAACTTAAACTTTTGAATTATAAAGCAGCAACACTCCCCTCTGCATATAAATTCTAACTGACCTTCAGGAATCACATGCATCTATAATGTCGTAAACAGAGGTTTTTGCTTATTTAAAATGATTAAAGTGCCATCCGTTGCATAAAATTTAAAGCAAAAACAGATTCACGGAGGATAGAATCAATTTTTGTAACACCTACATAAATGGTCATAAAAATTATTTCTTTTAATTTTTAATAATATTTTATATTTGATTCGATTGCTTTGGATGTGTTTAATTTACTTAGTGAACTGATATTATGCTTTTACTACCTTAGATATTTGAAAATATACCCACGTCCATTTTTTAGTATTTTTTTTTAAATGCGATTCTCCATTAATTTATCTATAATATTCTTCAAAATTCGTTTAAATGCGACATTAAATAAAAAAGTTATTTGCGATTGAAATTCATCGAAAATTAGTGTAGATCGATTATTTTGCCAGTGAGTGTATTTTTTCGGTCGGGCAGTATTTTATTTTATATCATCAACCATATCATATAAAAATGATTAAGTTACATATATGTGCGAAAAATAAACCCACTAACCATTTAACCTACCCTCGACCAATTTTTCCGGACTGGTAAATCCTACTTTACCGCTTTTAATAACACCTATTATTTTTAGGGCGATTCCGGCGGACCACTAGTGCTGCAAAGACCCGACGGCAGATATCAGTTAGCAGGCACTGTATCGCACGGGATCAAGTGTGCTGCGCCCTATTTACCAGGCGTCTATATGAGGACGACATACTACAAGCCCTGGATTACTTCGATAACGGGGATATTCTAATAACACCAGGAGGCTTAGATTGCATTCTTATCTCATGTTTTTCGTATGTAGGTTTTTTAAAGCGTTTTAAACGACTTACACTTTGATCTTACGGTTGATTCGTTTTATAAATTGGCTTATAAAGTAAAACAAGATTTTTTAATATTATGAATTTTAAACTTTTTTTATCTTATTTAAAAAATATTTGCACGTGTTGTGCCATAATGTGTCTAAGCCTTTTAAATGACTTTAAACTTTGTAAAGTAAGTGGACCCAACAAAGTACCATTTTTATTATCTGTATATAGATCTTCTGTCCTATTTAAAACAAAATTTAAAAAAAATGCTCATGTGATGAACTTTATTACCTGACAAATTTATTTATTTATTTATTTAAATTTCGATTGTTGTGTTATGTTTTGTAATTATGTATGTATTTATATTTATTTTATTTTTAATTTATTTTATAGGTAATACAATTAATTTATATATTTTATTGTTGTTTTATTTTAATATTTATTGAAAGTTTAACGTGATTACTTTTAATGCAATTTTACGTTAATTGAGCACCCTAATTACCCTGGAAAAATTATTTTAAAATGTTAGTCAACCAGTTATTAGTTGTTTTTAAAAAAATAAAAATTATATTTTACAATAAAATACTTTCAATTTTGGCGAATGCGCCGGGATTAATACATAGGATGTCTATTTAAAAACGAGCAATGCTCTATTTATAAGTCTGTACCTAAAAAAGATATACAAAATGTATCAAAACTGTTTTTAGGATATGTAGGAAAAATATATAACACCAAAATGACCTTCACTAAACCACCCCACTTACTTATTTTAGACAATTTAAGAAAAATATCAATATATTATATTATATACCTACTTATAATTAATAAAATTTCGTGTTGTATGCTTTGTTTAAATTAAACATGAATCTAATATTTTTTTTCATTTAACTTTAATTAAAATTTACATTACTCAAAAAGCTATGTATTTGCTTTTATAATTAATATTAATCTAAACTGAGTCTCTTCTTTAATTAAAGTGTTTCCAGGAACATGACTTTAGGCGTGATATAAAAAATATTTTAAATGTCATGATATTACTATTTATTAAGCGTTGTCTACAATGTATATCTGTAAATATATAGATGTATTTAAAAATGTTTTATTAATTTTTTATTAAGTCTTTATTGCGGTTTTAAAAACATATAGTTTTATTTTTTATTTAAGTTGATATATATCGAAGAAAATTTTACTCATGCATTTTTGTAACAATGTAACAGGTACTGAATTAATACGTAGAATTTCAAAAATTAATTAAGTGGAAATACCACGTTGCTATGACAACGGTTTGTTTGTATGCTAAACCAAAAACCTAAAAAAATAAACACGTTGAACCGTAAGAATAATGATTATCATTGCAGTTAGATATATTTTTGTTTCTACAAATTTACCATTTTTTATATCTTAGTAGGTATTTTACTCGAGAAATATTCTCCCTAAATACCGCTTATGGGTCATTCCACAAATTTAAACTTTTTTGTTAAAAATAAACATTTAATATTTAATACATAAATATTAAATTTGGAATTTTAAAGGCTTAAAATAAACAAAAACAATAAAAACTAAATATTAAAATTAAAATGGACAGAACTGCAAATGCCGTCGGGCCCAATATGACACGACGGCTATAGCAGTCGCAATTTTCTAGCTGATTTATGACAAGCCTGCATATGCAGGCGCATTAATAATGAGATCCATAGGAAGCTTTGACATATGTGTCCTATGAGACCTCATGTATTTTTGGTTGCAGAATGTAGTTGGTTGCAAATTAATTTTTATCTGTTAAGCGCGATTCTTAACCTAAAATTCGGCCGTTTTTGTGACCGATTGTTGTTAGGTGGAGTAAAAATTTGATTGTTGTGAGGTGGAGTAAAATTTTGATGTAACAAAGCTAGTATAGTAAATAGTATAAGTATAGTATAAGTTTTTGAACAATTATATTATTTTTTATCACTATATAACTTCTATAACTATATTTTTATCGTTAAAATGTTTTTTCTCGTCCTAAAAACGCAATTTCTTTTTATAAAATAAATTTTATATTATTTATAGGTATTTTATAACTTATAAATTATAAGTATTTATAGATATATATAGACTGTTGAGATTAAAAATAAATATTTAAATTTGAATCTAGACTTTTTGTCATTATTAAAGTATAATTTGTTTACCAGTGACTTTATACTACCATAATGGATAAGTAGAAATGAAAAAAACATGGACGGTTATTACCGTCATGACCCACCTCACCTTTCTTTTTTGAAAAAAAACTCGTAGTGGGGCATGACGGCTATAGCCGTCAAACTTTTTTAACGGCCATATACAGCCCTAAAGGCATCATCAAGTTACCGGTAAAATTTTTTGATGATAGGATAAAAGGTGTATGAATTATTCAAGTGACGCAGCAGGACCCGCCAAAAATTTGTCTGTGTCCATCAACGTGTTAACTTGAAATTATTTAATTCGTTTTTATTTATTTTCGACCTAAAATATAAGTAAAGTAAAGTTTGTTTGTATTAAAATGTAGTATTTATTTGAAATTATTTAATTCGTTTTTATTTATTTTCGACCTAAAATATAAGTAAAGTAAAGTTTGTTTGTATTAATGGTGTGGCTCTTTTTAAAAACTGTCAAACTTAAAATTTATTATAATAAATAAACGACTTGGAGAAAGTATGTCCTTGTGAAAATTATTGCTTCTATTTTCTTTTTAGACTATTAACGTGATATTTTGGAAGCTTTTGAAAAAGGAGCGAACAGGGTAAAAACATAAAATGGGCTATTGGGTTATAGCCCAGTGCAAAAGAATATTAAAAATCGGTTTTTTTACGATTTTAAATATTTGGTTTGGAATTTTATTGCGTTATAACGATTAATTAATAATCCTGTATCCAAAATTCTACATTTTTATCGATATAGTCAACAAGTAAATCAAATATATTAAATATATATATATATATATATATATATAAATACATATATTATTTTAAATGAAAAATTATTGTCAAGTGAAAATAGAATATTTATTATTTTTTGAAAATAATTAATTTTTTTTGTTGTTAACAGGTAAAGAAAAAATTTCGAATTTTTCTAAAAATTAAGTATAAAAAACGGTTTTTTCACGATTATTGATATTTCTTAAAAATTGTATTGTTTTACCGAAGAACACTCGATAAACTTCACGAAAAATTTGATACTTCATGATTTTGAGCCAATATTTCGTGAGGGAGTCATCATTTACTATTTGAGGTTGAACTTTAACCTTAAATAACTTTTAAACTAGTCGACTAAGCAAAAAATAAACAAGAATATGTATTGATTTCCACAAATTACTGATTTGTTAAAACGCAATAAAATTACAAACAATTTTTTTTCCTGTGTTATTTCAATGGAAAATAAAAAATCGCGATGAGCCACCTTTTAATATTAATATTAAGAGCTCAAAGTTTATCAGATTTTTTTTCCTCATCTTGGACGATAATTTCATGGTAACTAAAGAAAAAAAATTAAAAGTTTTTTTGGCATACTAGGGTAAAAAAATATCGAATATGTTTTTTTAAATTTCGACATCAGTTCACTAAGTAAATTAAACACATCCAAAGCAATCGAATCAAATATAAATTATTATTAAAAATTAATTAATTAAAGACATAATATTTATAACCATTTATGTAGGTGTTACCAAAATTGATTCTATCCTCCGTAAATCTGTTTTTCTTTAAATTTTATGCAACGGAAGGCGCTTTAATTATTTTATATAAGCAAAAACCTCTGTTACGACATTACAGATGCATGTGATTCCTGAAGGTCAGTTAGAATTTATATGCAGATGAGAGTGTTGCTGTTTTATAATTCAAAAGTTTAAGTTCATTAATTTGCTGTTTAAAAAGTTATCCACCGTGAAGTGTTATATCTCAGTAAGAAGATTTTTTTTTATAAATATTTTATGTATGCATAATTATATTTTAAAAAAATATTAAGGTGTTACAAGAAACAATAACTTAATTCAAATATACAAAGGGATGTTTTTAAAAAACATACGAAATCCTAACCTCCGTGAAGCTATCTTCCTTGAAGCTCAAATATTCAAAATGTACGAGGTGTGTTCAAAAAATAACGGGAATTGTTAAATTTCGCGGGTTCGGGGGGTCCGGTTGTCATAAAATTTTCTTTATTATGTTGGTATACATGCCCCCATAAAAACTTTAGCTGTTTTCATTGTTTACTTTGTCTGTGGCAGCCGCTAAGGCTAGACGTGTTTTATGAGCTCGGCGATTTTTCGTTCGTTAAAAGAAATGAATCAAAGAATTTGTATCCAATTTTGCTTAAAAAATGAAATAAATTCTGTAAAATGTTAACAAAGGCCTATAGTGAGTCTGCTATAAGTAAAACAAGAGTTTACAAGTGATATAAGAGTTTCCAAGATGGCCGTGAAGACGTTGAAGATGACGAACGCCCCGAACGCACAAGCACATTAACAACCGATAAAAACATGGAAAGAGTGGAAGAAATGGTTATAAACCATCAGAGATGTCGCTGATGATGTTGGTATATCGATTGGCTCATCCCATGAAATTTTTTCGAATGTTTTGGGTATGAAACGCATGGCAGCAAAATTTGTTCTAAAATTGTTAAATTTTGAACAAAATTTTTGGCCAAAAACAATACTGTAATGTTGCCCCAGCCTCCATATTCGCCAGACATGCCTCTGTCTGACTTTTTCCTATTCCCAAAAATAAAGAGAACCTTAAAGGGCCGTCGTTTTGCAGGCATAGATGACATTAAAAGCGCATCGCTAAAAGAACTAAAGGCTATCTTAAAGATCGAGTTTTAGAAGTGTTTCGAGTATTGGAAGAAGACTGGGACATGTACATAATATCCAATGGGGACTATTTTTAAGGCGACAACATTAATGTAGACGAATAAATAAATATTTGTTTCAAAAAACGAAAATTCCCGATATTTTCTGAACACACCTCGTATGATTTTGATTCTGGCATTAGTGCAAAACCACTTATGTTATGTTATTACTAGACCTGGTGGCTTCCCAAAAACCCCATTCTAGACTAACAGTGAAACAACCAAAAATAAAAAATAATCATTTTCACTTGGGGGGCATCTCAATATATTCACCCATAAGAGAAAAAAATATTAGATTTTTTGGAATAACCCCAATGCAGACACTCCGCGCTCGCTGGAGCTTCCTGGTATTGCCAACATGGCTGGCACCCACGTTCTCGCAGCCTTATCCAGCCCGAACCCTGCCGAGCCAGCCCGAAGCGACAGCATATAACAAACGGTCGTATGGATCGCGTCTGACTGCATTGAGCAATCCTTTATACAATCCACCCTTAGAATTTACCTGTATTGTACAGTGAGTGCTGTGCAAAGTGTTTTTTAGTGGTGAAAAAGTGCACTGAAAAAACAAAGTAAGTAATTTTATTAAAAATTATACTTTTATATTGATTTTATTAAAATCGAAAATTCCCGCCACTTGTTTGATAATAAAGTTCTTGAATGAGTTCACCAATCATTCATGGGCCTTTGTTTCACGTAGTTTACTATGTTTTGATAAGTATAAAGTACACTTTTATTACTTACTTATTTTTCATAATAATAAAAGCAAAAAATTATTATTATTCCAAATTGTGCATCAGTTGTAGATTGTATATTTCTATAAAGCGTTCTTCTATAAATAGAAATCGACCAAGTATTCTCAGAACTAACATGCTATTAAAAAATAATCTCTAATATTTAATTTTTATTGTGAAATACAAATAGTAAATGTTACCTCTAGTGACAAAGCTCAGATCTGAAATCTAGTTAAGAAACCGGGTTGTACTTATACGTATAAAAGCCTGTGGTGCTTTCAGGATATAACTTCAGCACATCCTATTGATTAATTCTGGTCACTAACGTTTTTTGCCATGAATATTTATTTATTCGTGCACAAACAATTTTGTATTTACAATTTTATCATTTGTTGCGTATAAACCATTTTAGGGTATTTTTTATAATATATTTAAAAAAACTTTATTTTAGCAAAATTTTTGTAGAAAAATTTAAACAATAACCAACGCTATACCATAACTAAAAACTAAAGAAACTGTGAACTCTTTTTGTAAATATCGCGTTAACCATAAAAATAAATTTAAAAAAATAAAAACGTAATTTAATTTTTTCCTGTTTAATATTAAAAAAGAAAAAATATATTTAAAATTACGAGTATGAAAAGTTTGTTATCTTTAAATTTTTCTAAATATTTAGGAAAATATTTGCATGAGGCATTTTCCGACGCGACGAGGCGCGTCTCTACTACATTTTCCGTCGGAAAATTATATTTAAGTATTTAAAGAAGGTATTTTCAGTCACGATAAAAATTCTTTACTTCTATTATTTTTTTTCATACCTACTTAAACTTGTTTCTTCGTGACACCAAAAATGACTTTACAAAATTAATTTTTATTCTAATAATTTGTTACTAGATTTTTCTAAATCAGTGAAATATCTACATTATTTATTTAATTCAATTTTAAAAGATAAATAAAATATTAGTGGAATATAATTCCGTAAATTGCATAAGGAAAGTCTCTTAAACCAAAAAATAAATGTATGACATTAAGTGATCTTTCAAATATTCTTTGACAAGCTGTGACTTTATGACGGTTTAGTCACAGGCTGAAGTTAGCTGCAGTAACTTTCGGGCTTTTTAGTAACAGGCTGAAGTTAACTTTAAATTAGTTGTCAAATGTTAAACAATTTTCAAAATAAAGTACCCTTCTTGTGAAATAATACCAAATGTAAAAATTACTATATTATTTCAATACAAAAATACAAAATTATTAAATAATTTTTGACGCCAATTTTCGACTTGATTTCGCTTGCAGTAAACTAGTTTCTGCCAATAAAGCATTACAAATTTCACTAAAACATCCCCTTCACTTTCACTGTAAAAATCTGCTTCTATATCGGATTTAAACAGCTTTTAGTCCATTTTTAAGAAATTAATTTGACACACCAACACTGCCGGTCAAACAGATTCCTAAAATCAATTTAGTTTTGTATAAATGTTGATCTATACAAATTTTCAATTTAATTATTAATAAATTAGTTTTTTTAATATTATTTGTCGAAGAAAAGTTATAGTATTGTAGCAACTGGTTTATAAACTCTTTTAAGCACTCATTTTATTAAACACACGCTTCGCTCGTGCCTAATTAAAATTTGTGACTAAAATGGCGTTTATCAAACTTGATAAGTAACAAATAATAGTATTATATTATTATACTAAAGATATTATTAACGAGAAGGAGAAATTTGCGTCTCGAGTCGCCAGACGAGAGCCTTAAACATCCGAGTGAGTAAGCGCATAATCTCTAGTTTAATACTATACTTTATCTACTCCAATAAGTATATCATTAAATGATTTTTAAAAATAATTGAATAAAATCTGACAACTATCAAATGGTTAACCTTACTTTTTACCAATTTTAAATGTTATTATTATTATAGTCACCTTCTTCCAATTTAAAACCCGATTGGTTTAAATCACAGTGAATATTAATATCGACCAATCACTGATGCCTAACAACATGAATAATAGGTTCATTATTCCCGTTGTTTGGCAGGGTATTTATAAATTATAATATTCATCTTTATTAAGGGAAAAAACGATTTTTTCAGCTTAAGAAATTATTAAATGTTTATTAAACATCGAGAATCGAAAATTATAACAATTTTTAGCAGAAGTCATCGATTTTTTCCTGGGAGATTTGTAATAAAAATATGAAATTAAAAACTTCTTGAACTGAGTACTTATTTTTTGAATTATTTATATTTAATATTTCAAAATAACATATTTCCTCATTATTATTAAAAACTTTTTAACGATATACATTTCATTTAAAACTACCCGTCGCATAAAATTATAAAAAGTTTTATACTTTTATAACACAGTATAATATACTGTGCTTATGACTCTAAAAGGTAATAAATTATGCATTATCTTCCCATGGCAGATGGTGCAAACTTTAAATTAAAGCTGCTCATTTTAAACCGGATTTCGCAAATTTTTTCGCTTTATTAATGAAGATATCAGGCTTTTTTTGTCCTTGATTAATTACCATTTACTTAACCTAAGTGAGACTTTTTAATTATATCTTTTTTGATTTTATTTTATATCAAAATGTGAGTGTAAAGTATATTTCCTAGAATATTAGCAAAAAGTTTTTACAAAAAAGAACTTTTTCTACTTCCACCTTTAAAACGCCCTTTATCGTACATGTTTCCATGACACTAAGTGACCTTTTAACACATTGTTGTGGCTTTACGGCGCTTTAGTCACGGGCTGAAGTTAGCAACAGGATTTTAGTCACGGGCTGAAGTTAGTTTTAAGTTAGTTGACAGTTGTCAAATGTCATACAATCGTTAAAATAAAGTGCCTTTCTTGTAAAATAATACTAAATGTGAAAATTATTTTATTATCTCAATACAAAAATACAAAAATATTAAATAGTTTCTTAAGGCCAATATTTGAAAAGTTTATATGAACATTGTACTGACCTTTTAATTTCGCCGGCAGTAAACTATAACTTAAATTCGGGCACGGACTCCATTGTAAAGTGCTTATAAAACATTTCCTTTACTTTCACTGTGAAAAACTTTCAAAATTTTCAATATACATTTTGATTTATAACCTTTATAATTGTGTTTATAAAATGTAAAAATGTGACATTTGACAGTTTCCCCTGTTGTTTCATAGATGGTGTTCTATAAAAATTTTTGATTTAAATCATTTTAAGATAATAATAAGTATTTGTCGTAGAAAAAGTATAGTATGCACCTCGTTTATAAACTTTTCTATACACTCATTAATTTAAGAACTCGCTCGCAAGCTCGCTCGTGCCTAAAATAAATTCGTGTATAAAATGGCGTTTTTCAAACTTGATACATAATATACTATTATTTTGATGAAAAAATAGATTAAATGACAATAATTGTCAATTATTAACAAATAAAATCTAATATAAAGCTTACCTCAGCCCTTGACAAAACTTACAGTCGCAATGTGTATTAAGAAGATCTATGGACATATTAAAATGCCTATTGTTGTGGATTGTAAGTGAGGGCTGCTATGTGTGAACCGTACTGTCATTCTCGACTTTACAAGTTTGTTTTGGCTTGAAAAGAATAAACTAAGTGGGTTTCAATAATAAAATACAATGGTGGTTGTTATGCATTTGATTGTAAAAGTTATATAAGTTATAGTGACAAGTTAATTGATCCAAATTGAGTATATTTTATTTAATAAACTTTATTTACTCCCCCATTAATAAGCTGTGACTTTATGGCGTTTTAGTCACGGGCTGAAGTTATCAATAATGGCTTTCGGGCATTTTAGTCAAGGGCTGAAGTTGACAGATGTTAAAAGTTTAACAAGTAAAATTGACTTTAAATAGTATAAATTCCCTGCCTAGCAACTGGAATAATTAACTCATTATTCACGTTGTTAGGCATCAGTGATTGGCCGATTTCAATATTCACTGTGATTTGAACCAATCGGGTTTTAAATTGGGAGAAGCCGACTTTAATAACATTTACAATTGGTAAAAAGTAAGGTTAACCATTTGACATATATCAGATTTTAATAACTATTTTTAAAAATCATAAAATTATCTATTTATTGGAGTGAATAAAGTATAGTATTACACTTGAGATTATGCGTATTATCTCTCGTATTATAATATACTATTATTTAAATCATAATAAGATAACTGTCCTATATATGTATAATAAACATTGTATATTAATTATGCTTCTATTATTTACTTTGAACATTTTGATATGTATTATGTTCATTAGGTAAAGTATATTTTTGTCGTTACATTTTTATTAATACACCCTACTTCACTAATTTTAGACTGCGGTTATAACAGTTAATTAGTTAATGATTTTAATTGGTGTTGTGGGATCACTAATTATCTTCTTTGAAAATATGTCTGGCATAAAACAAATAGCATTTTAATTGTTATGTACCAATGCACATGTACAGGTTAAATTTTATACTGCATTGGTATTTTGCTGACGACTATATTGCAATATTTTTTCAAACACGCGAAATTTAACGATTTTACAGTTGAAAAACTTTTACCTTAACGTCGCGAAATTAACCATTTTAGATTTAATACTGTTTATATGTTCAAAAATAATTCTACTTGTAATATATTACAGGGTGGGCAATTATATTATAACTGACTGATTTAAGTTTTAAATATTTTCACATTATGATTTATAATACACTCACAGGCAAAATAATCGATCCACACAAATTTTCGATGAATTTCAATCGCAAATAACTTTTTTATTTGATGTCGGATTTAAACGAATATTAAAGAATATTGCAGATAAATTAATGTACAATCGCTCACATTTTAAAAAATTACTAAAAAATAGACGTACGTTTATAATATAATATAAAAGATGTTTTTACCATAAGTTTAAGACACTCTGTATAGAGGCGAAACCGTATATTGTTCTAAATTAAGTTTTATTTATCAAGTCACATATATTCTTAACAGTTTTGTTTTTGGTTTACCTCGATATATTTATTTTTGTGGAAAATATTGATTTTTTAAAAACCATTGCAATTTCCAATATTTTTCTGTATGAAGAACTAAGGTTGCTATGGTCCATCCATATGCTATGGAGAATGACAGTGACAGTTTTGTTGAATCAGCCCATACTTGGACACGGCTTTTAAAAGCTAACAAATCGTTTTTTGCAAATTAATGTTTAAATTTTAAGGTGTCTTCTCACTTTAAAAAATGAATATGTCCCCGACTGATGTTGCCAGAGCCATTAATTTAATATAGGATGGACGGTCACAGTATTAAGTGGCAAGTGTTTTAAACTTTACAAGAAGTAAAGTAAAAAGGGCAACATTAGTCGGAGACATTTTTAAAAGTAAGAAGACACCTCAAAATTAACGCATTAATTTACAAAAAACAATTTGATAGCTTTTGAAAGCTGTATATGACATGTCCAAGTATGGGATGATACAACAAAACTGCCATCCTCCGTAGGTTATCGATGGACCATAACAACCTTAGTTCTTCATACAGAAAAATATTGGAAATTGCAATGTTTTTAAAAAAAATCCATATTTTCCACAAAAATAAATTTATCAAGGTGAACCAAAAACAAAATTGTTAAAAATAGATGTGACTTAATTAGAACAATATACGGTTTTGCCACTCTACAGAGTGTCTTAAACTTATGGTAAAAAATATCTTTTTGTTTAAACCTGTATATTATAAACGTACGTGTATTTTTTAGTAATTTAAAATGTGAGCGATTCTCCATTAATGTTCTACAATATTCTTTAATATTTGTTTAAATCCGAAATCAAATAAAAAGTTATTTGCGATTGAAATTCATCGAAAATTTGCGTGGATCGATTATTTTGCCTGTGAGTGGATTAGGAACTAAAAGTTAAAAGTTTGACTTAATTAATAATAGTTTAGTAATAATAAAACGATTTATTTATTTTTCAATCAACGGCTGTAATGTTTTCTTTTTTTATTTCAGAATGAAAATGAAAACACTTTTAGCAATTTTTGCTTTCTGCCTATTGGGACACACAGCGCACGCATGGGGTGGCTTATTTAATAGATTTTCGCCAGAAATGCTTCAAAATTTAGGGTACGGAGGACACGGGGGATTCGTGGTAAGTCAGTTAGAACTATAAATTAAAATAGGCATATATTTTTTAATGTTTTTTTTTTAATTTTACACATATGGTTTACAGCTAAAATGTATATTATTTTTTCTATGGTATTTTTTTATTGATAGCTTTTCGAATTATGATTTTTACAATTTGGGTCGTATTTCAAGGTATAAATGGCCAATCTTGTTGCAAAAGGTGTCAAATTATCAGTTGATATCTACGTTTAAGTGCAATGGTTTTTTGGACAAAAAATAAGAATGCAATATTTACTTTTTTGCCATGGAAATATGCCAAAATTATCTACGCAACAAAGTGTCGTACCAAAGTTATAACCGTTTATGTAGAAAAAATAAATAAAATAATAAATTAAATTTCTCGGCAACCGCAGAATAAATTTTAAAAGGGAAGCGTTATTTTAAAGAAAATGTAATTCCCTTTTAAAAGATGTATCCCATTTGAAAAAATAGTTACAGTGATGAAATTAATGTGAAGGTAAATATGTCCCCCTGAAAACAAAAGTATGCGGGTTCAAAGATTTTTTTTATGTTCACATACAAAACCTTAAACCTTGCTGGACTGTTTTTGATGGGCCACCCTGTACATATGTTAGGGTGATTCAAAAAATCTACTATTCTTTTTTTTTAATTATGATATCGAAAAATCTACGTAGGGTAAACCACATAGTTCTTGGACACTTAAGGAATAGTATTTATTTAAAATTTATATATGCCGTTGTTTTAAAGATTTTAGTTTTTTATTGTAAATATATAGTTTGTTTGTTTAAACTTCATTTACGTTTACTTGAAAATAATAATATTTGAATTTTTGATAATATTTTTATAAAAACATGCAAAAAAGTATAGTAAATGGACATTTTATATAGTAATTGGACACATGGACCATAGTTATTGGGCATACAATTTTTATATAAACATAACAACTGTACATCAAATAACATAAATTGTTAAATATATCATTAAGTGTGGTATCTCTAGTTTGTGAAGCCTTTATAATGTTTAGGCCGGAACAGGATGATTTATATATATCTAATATTTTTTCGGGTGGTATGTTAAAAGTATTTTCCGAATTTATTAATTTTGTTGCCATTAGTTTTTTATGTTCTCTATCATGCACTGTATTTAAATTACTGTTTTTCTGCAAGATGTCCTGTGACGAAGAAATCATTATATTACTTACTCTCTAAAATGAATTAGTCAAAAATGTCATAGCGAAAAATCAGTCACTAATAATTCTCGTCAACAGCAATTTGTATCCAGGACATTTAGCAGTCAATTCCTATGAAATATTATTCGCTGAATCCGAAAATGTCGTCAAAAGTTATAAAAGTTAAACAGGTTTTGAAATATAATCAATTTTACATATAATATGGAATTGACTATTTCTCAAAAACTGCTTAACTTTTATAGTTTTTGACGGTCTTTTCGAATTCAGGGGACAATTTTACATAAGAATTGGCTGGTAAATGTCCGGGATACAAATAGAGTATGATATTGGACATATGTCCAATAATAGAAGTTTACATTTTTTACCAACCAGTAATTGGACACTGGCCAATTTTACTGGTTGTTCTCAGAATTAAAATTAAAATGCATTAAAGTGACAATGTTTAAACCATGAAAAACACATTTATTCCACACACTGATCTGTACACTTTTTAAATATATTTTTTATTTTAATTTAAACACAGCCATGCTCTTAACAAAAAAACAAAAATCTTACCACCAAAGTGACGTACAAACTTTTTTGTCCTATATTGCATCCAAAATAAAGTAGTTCTATATTATTAGCGACTAATTTGATGATTTGACTTTAAGGTAGCTATTTATAGAACTCTTGTTTTACAGTATTAATGTTAATTGTCCAATAACTATAAAGTGTCCGATAACTGTCTACTTTACCCTATAAGTTCTTACTAATTGTAAGATCCTCCTCATTGCAATTTTCCATTTTTACATTAGTCCAATCAAAAAAAATTGGCATCTTCCGAGATATGACCCAAATTGTAAAGTCCAGGAAGATAAAACAAAAAGTATGAAAAATTTACAAGTCGAAAACCTAACCATAAAAAATATTATTGCCGTTTTTGAATTTAACAAGCCCTAATGTATAAGAAAAATATGGCAGCACTAAATGTATATTTTAATATATATTTATTTATTTGTAAACTAGTGTTATGGTTTATAACTATAGTTTAGTTTTAAGTTTAACTAAAACTAAAGCTCAAAGAACCTCAAACTTATAACTGTTAACTGTTAACTGAAGAAAACTTGATAAAATGTAAGTATTTCGATTATTCTTAACTTTTTATCTCAACTTAATTTTCCTTCTAAAATTCTTGATAAACTTTTTAGCAATAATATTTTAGAAATCTTAACTATTTAGCATTAAGAATACCTATTTTTTATAAAAATTTAGGGATAATTAAGGGATAAATACACATTTTCCAAAAATATCAGTTTTACTTCAAATGAAAACATTGTTTGCTAAGTTAGGTTTTACCATAAACTACACACTAAATGAGCCAAAAAAGACAACTTACTTTGGAAACCTTTTTCCAGAGCTATACAGTTAAATGAAATTTCTTGTTTAAACCTCTTGGACCCTTGGTCTCCAGAAAACTTCATATTCATGTTTAAACAAAAGTACGATTTATAAAATATTTAGGGATTAAATATATTAAAAATTGGTCAAAAATATTTAAAAATCAAGTGTTGTTTAGACATGTATGATAAAGAACATAAAATTGATGTAATCCCAATTTATAAATAAACGATCCACGTGGAAAATTTCAAAACCTAATAAAAATTAAAATGGCTTCATAAAAATGTAGGCAAAATTTTTAATGAAATATTTTTTCAGGGTGAATTGGAATTAGAAGAAAAATTGGTATGTAAGATTAGTAGATTTGTTAGAAGCCACGTTAAAGTTTTAAGTTATACATATACAGGGTATTTTAATTAATTAGACTGTAGTTACTTTTGTTTTTAAAAAAATTATGAAATGTTTATTTTCAATAATAATTAACTGTGTTGTTGAATTAGAAAATCGCTTCGTCAAAATTTTATCTTTTTATTAATAAAAGTAAAAGGTCTTTACAAAAACCTAACAAATGTTCCTTACACAAGTAACAATAATGCTCTTATTGTGATCTCCAAGGTAGCATTAAAACTAATCAATAAAACTTTTATTAAAATTAAATAATCTTCAAGACAGCCTTAGGACCATCATAAAGCAGCTTCTAGCCAAAAGGGATACATCCTAAAAGGGCCTTCAAGACTAAATTTTAAAACTATATTAAAATAATTCAGTTTTATAAGAAAGAAGTGAACCTTCACCTCGCCAAAGTTTTTTGTTTTGAGTGCGTTCCACCAACTTCAAATACCAACAGACAGCTGTTTCGGGCAACTTGATGTAGTGGAACACACCCGAAACAAAGGACTGCTTGCGCTTATATACTGCGCTAATAAGTCAACAGAGGCGAGATGTAAGAACATCATTTGCCGCAATCGGTACATACTATGCAACCAAGACTGCACACAGCAAATTGTATCACAGATACTAATATGGCCTAAAGAAATCTAAAATTAGCCCAACCAAGTTTACATTCAGTTTTAATTTTAAATTCATAAAAAGTTCTTCAAGGCAACTTTAAATTTATGTAGTAAAACTTATTTGCATTTAAAATATACTTGCAGCAGACTAAATTACCTTAAGCATCAATATAATTAATCCTAAAAGTTATATAAAGCAAATGCAAACTATTCCGATAACAAATTTAACAACGATTGGCACTTTTCTGAAAAAATATAATAAAATACTTCTACATAACACATAACACATAGCAAACGCCATCAATTTAATGTTTTTTTGGATTATTTAAAAATTAAAACATTTGAGCTTTAAAAACGTCAAAATTAGGTTTAGGATTTAAAGTAAAATTTTAATGAGCATATATATATATATATATATATATACATAATATGTATTACATATATAGGCCTAAGATAAAATAGTTTTCTTAATAGGCTTTAATGAGTAAAAACAAAAATCCAATATGGAGGCTAAAATTTAATGGCTGTTAAAAAGGTCTAGTGATTTAATTGCTTATTTAAACGAAATTTATTCGAAAATTCAAGGCTTTTGATTGGTTCATATTATAATGAGGGAAATAATCAATAATAAATAATTTATTATTTTTGCGAAAAAAACATGAGCAATGAATTTTTGTTAGAGTACCTCTTTTGTAGCAAATAATTTAGGCAATCTAATTTTGTACTTAACATAAAAAAGCAATTATAAAAAACAAAGTTTTAGTAAAACGAGTAGTAATTTAAATGATTTAAATTTAATTAATTAAAAATTTGTTTTATTGATTTGTGAAACACTAAATAATTTTTTTTGACATAAACATTTCATAAAACCGCTTGGGAATAAAAGGATGGTCTCATTAATTTTAATAAAAACCTTTTAGAAATGCACATTGAACACGCCATTACTTGTTTTTGTTAGATGCTGCTAGAAAATTATGTTATTGCTAAATTAAGTTATATTTATATGCAGTAGATAGAAATGTAGTAAATAAAATAATTAAATAATTAACACAGGATAAACTATTTAGTTTTTAATAATAAAATTGAATTATTTTCGATTTTAAAAGATCATAATAGTACGCACTTCATACAATAATGATTTTTATACTTATACACCTTAAAAAAAATTTAGACTTTAAAAATAAACTTGGGAAAAGTGTTACCATACGTGTGATTTTTTTTACCTAATTATAATGTATGTTGTACGTAATTTAACTTTAACTTTCCTGTAGGGATTTTTATCGATTCGATACTATTGGATACTTAATGTAGATAAATTTATTTATTCAAGAAACCAACAGTTGAGTTTTAGGATTTTAGTTTTTGTCTTTTTTCCAATAAGTAAAAAATAAGCTTAGCCACATTTTTTGGGTTTACTTTATTAATAACTATAAAATCCATTAATATTGAAAAAAGTTTTTCTCATCAGAAATATTTCTACAGGGTGCACCCAGTATCCTATGTATTTACTTTTATCGGTATTTTTTTATTTGAAGAGCTGCAATGTTCGTTAAATTAGAGAAAGGTTTTATTTATTATTTTTTTAATCCTATTGTGCAAAATAAAATAAAATTATATTACACAAAACAGAAATGGAAAACCCAGAGCTCCCCAAACGCACGTAGTTAAGTATAACCATGAAATAAACAATATAAAAGCAGGAAACTCAAAGGAACAACAAAAAACCTTTTTAGCTGGGGAGGAAAGTGTGAAGTGTTTTTATGTATTTTTATTTTGAAATAAAAATAACACTGCAAAAAGTTACGAAAATGGCGAATTCGCCGGGATCAATTTTTATTTTTTAATTGAATTTTAGTTTTTTGTTCAACGATTGAGAATGTTGTCCATTTCATGATAATGAAATAGGTGAGTGAAGTAAATTATCTAAATGGAAATGGCCATTTCTCAACAGTTAAACCCTATACTTTTTTTAAATTCTATTGAAGAATTTAGTATAATTACCATAACCAAAATTATAAGAAAACTTGTATGTAGTTTTTTAATTTTAAAAAGTTATAAATTACATCTTAAAGCTGTTTGGTTAGTGTTTTTATATAATATTATAACGTGGAGTATTAATAAAAATAATATTTTTATTTTCTGTAGAACTAGAAAATTGCAAAATGGTCTTTTATATACAGTGTGACCCATTTGTTTGCGACTCACCCCTGTAAAATCTTCTTGGAACACTAACTTTTTTTTTAATTCGATAGCTTTCGAGAATTTTAAATTTGCAGTAAATATACGGGTGATTCTACAAAAGTTGGACAACTTGATGTCATCAGTCAATAGAGTAGGTATTTTAATATTTTTTGTAAATATTTTAGTACATTACAAAAGATCCAGGTTTTTTAACTTGTCCACCCAATTTTAATGTATTTTTTAAAAAGCAAGTTTGTAGAAAAACATGATAAATATTCAAAACATCAGTACCTTGGCGTGTCACAACTCCTGAATCAAATATTTGAGTGGTTTTATTTTAAAATATATTCAATTTATCTTAAATTTTTCAATTTCACTACAAACTATAAAACATTAAATAATGTATTTTTCATATTTTATTAGAGATTCGAATAATAGCAATTTTTAAAAAATTGATAATCTTTGTACTCACTTTTACCCGTCAGTTCTGTGTCCAATGTTAAAATTCAAAATTCCTGCGAAATATTGAAGTTTAAACTTCTAGTCCTCGTTTTAACTTAAGTGTTGGTAAAAAAATTACCTAGAGCCCGCCCTTTGCACGACATTCATCTTGAAAACAATGCAAGCGGCGAAGTTGTGGTGAATGCACGTATAGTTCTAGTCAAAATTTTAGTACTGTGGTGTGTAGTTATTTTCTTACGTATATATATTCAATTGTAATTTATATAAGGCTATATGTAATTTGTTGATAAGTAGCATCCACTAATAAAAAATATCAGTAAAATACTTAATATCGCATTATAATCTCAAATTTGTATCCCATTCATCAGTACCGTGTCGTCAGTTCCATGTTCGAATTTTCGGTTATCATTTTTTCGCAAACTTCAATTTAAATTCTGCTTGCGCAGAACTGGTTTATTTAATGCCATTATAAACTCATGTAAATTTGGTGTGGGTCCCATATCTAATAATTGAGATATCGGTATACCCAAAATCCACCAGCCGCCACTGATGTGTGGTATTATTTGATTTTAAGATATTTAATGTATTATATGCTTAAAGTTGTAATAAATCCTAATTTTTCCAATAAATTATCTATTTAATTAGTTCCCTGGTATACTTGTCACTTCCCTTGCATTCAAATTTAGAAAACACTGATATTTCAGAAACCATTTGAAAAAGAGACTGGCCCGGTCTGGAACAGTATATTTATTATATTATCTAGGTTCTCATAACAAAATACTGTTTAATTCTCTCCGAAAACTATATAAACAAAATGAGGTCAAAAGTTGCCCAACTTTTATAGAATCACCCATAAAAGCTTAAAACAAAAATGAAACAAAAAATAGAGAATTTCAAAAATTCTCTACAGTTAAATTTTCGTCACTTCTATTGCACAAGAAGTACGGGCTAGGGTAATACAAGCTTACGAAGCCATAACTCCAGAACAAATATCAAAAAGTATTGAAATAAATAGTGGTTTAATAGAGGTGACAAAAATCTAATGGTAGAGAATTTTTTTGTTTCATTATTGTTTTAATTTTTTTATTTGTCAAAAGTAAGCATAAGAATATGTTACAATTAGTATAATTTTATTTCAATGTTTTTTTCATGAATAACTTGACTGAATAAACTTTTGTAAATAGTAATTATTGTGCATTTTTAATTTAGCTAAAAAATCGTTTCTACTTTCTACTTTATCAAGATCAATACTTTAAAACAAATTCGGTTAAAATCGCACAACTAATAAAGATTTTACAGGGGTGAGTCGCAAACAAAAGGGTCACACTGTATAAAATACATTATTTTCAGGTGTAACCTTACAAACAATCTAAATGGCAGAATGCAGTATAGAAAAAACCTTTTAAGCTCGTGCGAGAATAAAATGTTTTGAGCAGGTGCTTTTTATTTTTAGCGTGGAGACGACGAAGGTATTTTGGAGGAGTTTGCGAAGGAAGGAGAGGAGGATGCCTGCCTGTATCACGCTTGTACCGCCAATGAACATTGTTGCCCTGGAATGATATGCGCAGACGTTGATGGAGGTAATGTCATTTACACACAAGTACATACTTCACACTTTTTGCTTTTATATAAGTGGGTCGGTATTGTGTCAATACTACTCACAAATTCTTTTAAAAAAACATGTATACATTTATTAATATATTTTATTTCATTTAACATAAACTTTCCAATGTTAATAAAAAAATACTATTGATAACAATGATTACATTTTAACATAAACTTTCCAAAGTAAAAAGTTACTGGTGACATGGACAGAAGGGGATATTTTGAGTTTTGCCAATCATTTTTAATATTCAATATATTTGCATCAAATTGAATAAATCCTCCTATACCCTAAAGAAACTTTAAGAAATTATACTCTCTAAAAATTAATTAGGCAAAAATTACGTATTACTACAGTAATAAGTGGCTGCTTTTTCACTTGTACCATCCTTAACCATGGATTACCATGGTATCACAAAATTAGTTTTTAAGATATAGTCAATTCCATATTAAATGGAAAATGGACTATTTCTCAAAAACTGTTCTACTTTTTTAACTGTTGACGACATTTTCGAATTCAGGGGACAATTTTACATAAGAATTGGCTATTAAATTTTGAGATACCATGGTATCCCATAGTTAACCATGGTACAAGTGAAAAAGCAGCCACTAATAACTATTAAATAAGTCATTTTTGACTAATTCAGTATTAGAGAGTATACTTAATCACCTTTTAAAAATAAAATTTAGTGGGGAAGCTGTTTTTCTTTAATTTAAAAAGAATTCATAAAATGATCAAAAAACACAAGTAATAAAAATAGGCCAAATTCGTCTAAAAATTGATGCATATTTTGTGTGTATAAAATAAAATTCATTTTGGTCGAATATGCAAAAGAAAATAGAATGTAATAAAAGCCAAATATTTTTCAGAAAACATACCCAGAAAATTGCATTTTCTGTTAATAAAATTTTATTATATTTCAATATTCTTTTCGTACAGGAAAAATCTTTCAATAGTACAATATTAAAGAGTTTAATAAGTTATTAAACTATTTTCCCAACATGCAATTTATTTGTATGCATTTTTAAGTAGAGGCGTTCTATAATTTATTTTTTATTATTGTCGACGCTTAATACCAAAGTATTGATTATCTTCTAGTCTGTAAAAATAGTTTAAACCAATCAGGTGAAGTTCATCCTAGTCTCTAAAAAACGAAATTCTATAGCTGTTGACAGTTCTATACTTTTAATAATTGTTATTATAACTGCACGTTTTATGTATCGTTTAACAAATAAAACTGTGCCATGAAAATAAAATGTTGTATGCAATTTGGCTTAAATGCATCTTTTTGTGCTTCACTCAATTGTAGGCCTTCGCTAACGCGTTGGACTTCAAACTTTGTGCTTAGCATAAAAAGACTCACTTCTCAACCTTATGACATAAATATCTATTATCCAAAATCTATTGGGAATAAAATGGTCCAAAAGTTTAAAATTGTATAGAATCAAATTCTCTATAAATTTGTTACTTACTTTTTTATCTAGAAATGCAAAATATGCGTGCAAATCGACAAAAACACAAAACATGATAAATCGGTAAGTCGTTTAATCCGGTTGTTTTAGTTTTTTACGAGGTTTTGCATGTTTTGTGTCACCCTTTTTTTCAACTAACATACTGAAATATAACACAATAGGGCTTAGCACATTGCGTAATAAATTGCGATTTCATAAAAATGAAAACAAATTGGAAAAAATAAATTTGCAATTTAAACATGGAAATGCCTTTGGCATCAATAAAATTTAACTTTAAGTTTTATTGTTCCAAATAAATGGTCGGTGTTGGTTAAAATTTAAAAAAAAAATCAACAAATGTTTACTACAATTGCCTGTACTATTATTGAACTGCCCATAGGAAAATTGAGTTAATAAGTCCTTAAATAACCGCAATCTTAGTAATTAAAGTTAAATAAACCTGATATACATAATTGAAATTTAAGCTTGAAAGGCACATGGTCGAGAAGTAACCCCTTTTATAAGCAAACCATTATAATGCATTAGTACACTGAAAGAAACAAATGGTTAAATTAACAAATAAATGGTTAATTTAACTGTTTTTGCACATTCAATACAAACAATGTTTACTTGGAGTTAAACAAACCATTCATGAATGTAAAAATATAAATTTTATTTTAACAAATTAAAATTTCAGAAATTTATTTTAACCTTTAAAAAATTTTTTTGGTCAAACCAATAAAAATATTAAAATTATGAAAGATGGAAGAGATAGAAAAAGAGAATGGCAGAACATGCTGCGCTATACAGAGTGTTATGTAATTAATGTTAAAATGGGTTGTTCCTTAGGGTCCATAAAGAAGCACCTGAAACTTTTTTTTTCTAAATTCCAAAGTCTAAAAATAATTTATAATAACCTTTATCCTACCAAAAAGTACGCCACTGATCGACTAGGAACTTTAGGTTAATCTGGTGGATTTATTATGTTATGGTTGGTAACAGTGTTTCCAAAATCTCTCAAAAAAGTTGACAAACATTGTTTAAATTTAGCTTAATTACAAAAATGACAAAATTAACAATGCAAATTGTCAATTTGGCGTTTTTATTAATGGTTGGTTATTTCATTTTTGTACTGAAGGTAAATTCAAACAAAATCTGCCAACTTTTATGACAGAATCTAGTGCATTTCTTTTAAATTTTAGGTTATGTTTTCAAATTGTAAATATCTTAACTAAGGGAAGTGCTTTTGGATTTATTTACACAAATTAAATGTTTAAAGTTTAACCCGTGAACTGGTCCCAATTTCATCTGAGTAAACAGAGAAAAAAACTGATGAAAAAATTAATTTTGTGGTTATGGATTTTAAATTTCAAAGGTACTAAATTTTCTAATAATTGCCTAAGCTAATAGCTGGATAGTAAATAAATACAGAAGGGTTTTAGAGCTTTAAGGGCATAAAACTTTTGTATTTATTGAGTTTTTATTTATTTTTTGCAAGAAAAATTTTTAGTAACAATTTTTTACATCTGGCAACGCATAGCTACTTTGTTGGTTGGTATCTATGTACTCACAAAATACAGGTGTGCAGAGATAAACAAGTGTGTAACCAGTGGCGTATCACAAAAAATATAAAAAACTTTTAATGCATATTTTTTCTTTATCTTTGGAAAAATGTTTTTTTAAATATTTTTCCTTTATTCCTTATGTCAAAAGGTATTCAGTATTTTAATATATAACATTAATTACATAACACCCTGTATAACGACGTAATATACATTAGGCAATTCATTTAACTCTCCGTATAAGTTAAATTAACAGTCTTACTCTCGGTTGAATTATCTTTACATTGAAGTATAAAGGTTGATTTTGTTATAAGCAGGCAGGACCGGATTAAGAGTTTTGAGGCCCTGGGGCCGAATTTGGTGGGGGCCTCAATATTTCTAAAATTTTTGACACTTGGGAAATTAAAACTCATGGTAAATTTTTAAGCTAGAGGAACTTTCTGTGATTTTTTACTATCCTTGAATCATTTATTATTTAATAAACCATATAAATTTTAATAAAATCGGCCAAGGCGTTTTTAAGCTATAAATAAAAAACGATTTTTTTTTTAAACGAAACACCCTGTATCTCGATAATGAAGCATTTTTGGACACGTGTTTATATTAACTTTTTTTCATATTTTGATGAGAGGAATTTCCCCTGAGCTTTTTTCACCACAAGTATGAATCACCCTGTATATTTTGAATTATACGAATATAACCTTATATACATTTTACCCAAATCTGAGAAATTATAAATTCGTATGCAAAACGTGTTTTTATATACTTATATTTTATATATTTTGAATAATACGAACATAACCTTATATATATTTTACTCAAGTAAAATATAAATTGATCTATGTTTTGTTTGTAAGTACCGCAAACTGAAAAAAGTGCATCAAAAGTCGTATTATTTGTCTGTTTTTCATACAAAATCAAACAATAAAACAATCTTTTACCCAAAGAAAAGCACGAAGCAGTATTTCGGAAACACCGGAAAATATCCCACAACACTTCAATGTACCAATAAAAATCTGGGACAAAAACTAACTTTAATATTAGATTTATAAGTAATTGACTGTTTGCCTGTATTTACAAAAACGTTACGACAAGCACTAAAGGAGTAACTGCTTAAAATTGTTATAGTCATAACTTATGACTACAAACTATATAAAAACGTCTTCGCGCGCCAAAATTTTGAGTGTGATAATTTACATTCTGATTTGCAAGCGGATAAGCGATAAAAAATCCGCGAAAAAATAGAGTTAGATCTACGAAAAATTAATTGAAAATTACAGGATTCGCGCGGTATAACTGACCCAATTTTTTGTTTTTTCGACAATATTTTTCATATTTGTTCCATTTAAAAGCTACATATTGCATTGGTGGGGGCCCCTAAATGGTGGGGGCCCTGGGGCCGTGGCCCCGCTGGCCCCGTGATAAATCCGGCCCTGTAAGCAGGACAGGTTCAGGACCAAGTGTTTAAAATTAAAATTTCCGAAACTTTTGAGACAGAATTGGCGATTGCCCGTGACAAACATGTTTTTATAATACCTTATTTAAGTTAATTACATTTAGGTAATTGCATTTGTAAGTAATTATTTTAATTCGTATTTCTTAAAACATGTTAGCGTTCGACACGATATTCGTTCGTTAAAAAGCATTAAACGTAAAATTAAATCTAAAATCGATAGGTTTCCAATTATTTTTAAGATTTAAAAAAAATAAGTATTTTTAATTATTTGATTTACTAAAATTATAATAATTATTTTTTCTACTCCCACCTTTAAAACGCCCATTATCGTACATGTTACCATGACACTAAGTGACCCTTTCAATACACATTGATAAGTTGTGGCTTTATGGTGTTTTAGTCACGGGCCGAAGTTAGTTTTAAGTTAGTTGACAGTTCCCTTCTTGTAAAATAATACAGTTAACATATTAATCAATGATAATACTAAATGTAAAAATTATTAAATAGTTTCTCAACGCCAATATTTGATAAGTTTATATGAACATTGTACTGACCCTTTAATTTCGTCGGCAGTAAACTAGATTTAATTTAATTTCATTTTTTATACTTTTAATGTGAAAAACTGTTGTTAGTTTATTTTCAAGGGATACCTTTCGATTCACACTGGCGTTTATCAAACTTGATACAATATATACTATTTTATATCTAAAATAGTAATAGTAAAGAAATTTACCTTTATAGTAAATGACGTGCATTCAAATTGATATTTTATAAGTAAAAAATAAAGCACACTTTTAACATTTATATCATAAACAACTATTTTTTTTAAATTTAAACATTAAATAGTTAATTAATTTTAAATTGTTATTTGGATTAAAATGATAAAGTTTAATGAAATTATTAAAGGATTAAATGTAAAATGGATAATATTGTTTTTCGAAATAAATTAATTTTCAGTTTAATTCAGATTAATTAATAAAGACTTCAAAATTTGAATATATTCAAACATGCAAATACTGATTAATTTTGGATCAACATTTGCATATGTTAGCATTTGTAATTTTAATGGTATATTATGCATCAAGTTTGATAAACGCCATTTAGTCACGAATTTTAATTAGGCATGAGCGAAGCTTGCGAGCGAATGTTTCAATCTACGACAATTACCTAATATTATCTAAAAAATTATGGAAATTAAATATTTGTATAAAGCGACATCTATGCGAAAATAAAGTAACCATTCCAATAAACATTTTTGACGTAATTTTCACCATTAACATTGCCCGTTAATATTTTAATTAAACTTAACAATTATTGATGCTTTAAAACATAAAAATAACTTCAAAATATGCTTATGTTAAGAACATTTCTACCTTGGGAATTTACCGGCGTTAAACTCTCGAATTTTTTTGTGCAAATCAAAATTTATCCCTTGAAAATATACTAAGAATCGATATAAGCAGTAAAAGAGAAGAGAATGTTTAATGGGCACTGCACGCAAAATTTTTAACGATTTATTAGCACTACTGCGGCAAAGTCAAAAGTACAAACGTTTATATAATCTTTTCCAATATTGGCGTCAATAAACTATTTAATAATTTTTTATTTTTGTATTGAGATAATAAAATAATTTTCATATTTAGTATTATTTTACAAGAAAGGCACTTTATTTTAACGATTGTATGACATTTGACATCTGTCAACTAACTTAAAACTAACTTCAGCCCGTGACTAAAAACCTTTTTCTTCTTCTATTTTTAAAACGCCAATTATCGTAGGTACATGCTTTCATGACACTAAGTCACCTTTTAAATACGCAGAGAAGCTGTGGCTTTATGGCGCTTTAGTCACGGGCTGAAGTTAGGAACAGGTTTTTAGTCACGGGCTGAAGTTAGTTTTAAGTTAGTCGACAGTTGTAAAATGTCATACAATCGTTAAAATAAAGTGCCTTTCTTGTAAAATAATACTAAATGTGAAAATTATTTTATTATCTCAATACAAAAGTATTAAATACATGTAGTTTCTCAACGCCAATATTTGAAAAGTTTATATAAACTTTGTACTGACCTTTTAATTTCGCCGGCAGTAAACTATAACTTAAATTCGGGCACGGACTCCACTGTAAAGTGCTCATAAAACATTTTCTTTACTTTCACTGTAAAAAACTGTCCATTTTAAAAAAATACATTTCGATTTATAACCTTTATAATCTTTGTTTATAGAATATAAAAATTTGACATTTGACGGTGACACACAGATTCCCCTATTGTTTCATAGATGGCGCTATAAAAATATTTGATTTAAATCATTTTAAGATAATAATAAGTATTTGTCGTAGAAAAAGTATAGTATGCACCTCGTTTATAAACTTTTCTATACACTCATTAATTTAAGAACTCGCTCGCAAGCTCGCTCGTGCCTAAATTAAATTCGTGTATAAAATAGCGTTTATCAAACTTGATTCATAATATACTATTATTTAGTAAATTTGAAAGCAAAATTTAGTATTTTCGATTTTACTACGATTTGTTAATTTAACATGGTGCAGTAAGAGAATATATGTAGGTATAAAGATAAAGACAACAAATTAATGATAATAGAAGATTAGTAAAGATTATGCCATCCGCATACCCTTTACAGTATTAAGTATATTCACAAATAGTATGTTAATGGTTTAACAAGGCTTAACCCTACTATAAACACAGTAAGGCGGTTTGATGAAGATAAAAGGGATGTTAATGTAAATAATTATTATAAAACATGTTTTGTTGTCACCTTTTTTATGTTTATGTTTTGTATTTATTAAGTTAAAAATTAGGCTATTTATAAATATGCCCAAACCTAGAAGAAATTTAAAAATGTTTTAATAAAAACTTATGTTAGAATTCTATTGGTAGCCCCTCCCACATAACACAAAAAAAGTTTTAAAAAAGTGGAATACCATAGCTCGAAATCTACTTTTTGCAAGCTAAAATACAAAAAAATTTAGTACACTTCTTAATAAAAATAGTTTATTTTAATAATAATCGATATAAATAAAAGTGAAATATGTAATACAAAAACTACAGAAATAATTAGCGTCGCAATTGAAAACTCAACAAAGTAAAAATGGCCGAACTGACGCTGATTTGTGGATTACTTTAGCAGCCAAACCTTAGACAACAGATACCTTTTTAACAAAAGGGCGCTAACATTAGAAAACTTTTAATGAACTTTTTAAAAAGTTTATACTGTTAAATAACTTAACAATAACAAAGTTAGAGAAATATTTTTACCTGTATGTTCGTACAACATTTGACCAACCTTTCATTTTTAAATATTGTTCTCCAAACTGCCTCACAACATTTTAAAACGTATTGTGTTTAGGGTTGGGAAAATTTCACTTGAAATTTTCACGACATTTATGAAATTTATTAAAATTTCCTAAATGTCTGAAATTTCATGAAATTTATTGAAACTTTCAATAAATTTCAATCACTTTAAGTGTAATATATTAATATTGAAATAAGCCCACTCGGTGACCAAGGCAAATTGCCTCTCTTACCTCCTACCCCTCTGTGGGCCCCTGCACCAATAATATAAATAGTAAATACCTATGTTTACCACAAATTTCTTGAGATTTCCTTTTAAAATATTTTTAAAATTACTAAAACTAAGAGAGATATGACACTTTTTGGTAACCTAATGAGATTGTGTCACTTTCATTGTTTTATATTTATATATATATTTATTATTTTTATATATTTTACTGAAATTTTACAAAAATTGAAGAAACTTCATCAAAATTTTATGAGCCAAAGGCATTTTTATCCGTTTTCCGATGCAATTATAGCAAAAGTAAAAGTTTAAATTAATCATGACTTTTAAAAAAATTTTAAAGTCTGATTTAATTTACAAATTAAATTGGCAACTGAATTAAATTATTTAAATTAATTTATGCATACAAGTAACAATAATTACTTATAGTGTATTCAAATCCAAGCCGAACTAAACAAAACCACCCAGACGCTTGATAACTCGTTCTTATTGGTCGATTCGGAATCTGTTGTAAATTATTATTAAAGGTCCCAGGGGAGGCCGCATGTGAAATTTATGCGAAATTTTCAGTAAATTGCGAAACTTTCAATGAAATTTCTGAAAGTTTCACAGGCAATGTTGAAATTTTCGAATTGAAAATTTTATTTGAAATTTTTAAAAATTTCACTTTTCCAACTAAATGAAATATTTCAAGTTTGAAACTTTCAAAGTTGAAATTTTCATTTGAAAATTTCAACTGTCCCAACCCTAATTGTGTTATGTGGGCTGTATTAGTAGGTACGTTTTTTTAAATTAGGCTTTGGCATTCTATTTTTTAACTTTCAATACATTTTTGGTTAACAAAGTTATTAAAAGGATAAAAAAGCTAATATTTATTTATTAAAATTTATTTTTACTTTAGTTGTAGGTTCGTGCATCTTCGCGTACGGCCGCCGCGTCGGCGAACTGTGCCGACGAGACAGCGACTGCGAGTCCGGATTGGTATGCGCCGAAGCAGAGCCGGGAGTTCCTTCGACAAGAGTATGCCGACCGCCAGTGCACCAGGACAAACAGTACAGCGAACCCTGCAACATGTCCAACGAGTGCGATATCTCGAGGGGATTGTGCTGCCAACTTCAGAGACGTCACAGACAAGCGCCACGCAAAGTAAGTCATTTGTTGGATCAAAAAAAAAATATTTAAATTTTTTAACGTTTGACATATGGGTGAATATTTTAAAACTGTCGATTTTCGGAACCACTTTCGTTAACACATAAAAAAAATTGCAAATCTTATTAATTTTGCACTTTTAGGACTTTTCCACTCATGAATACAGGGTGAGTTTTAAGTTGACGCGTTCCTTTTAACAGTGTGTAGAAATCAGCTAGCTAGACAAATAAATATTTTAAGTAACTTTTTTATCAAAACTCAAAAATAAAAAAGTTATAGCCCATCAAAGTTTAATTAAATTTTAAGCCGGTCCTGGCTATTGTTACCGAAAAACATAACCATAAAAATATCAAAATAAACAATGCAAAATGTCATATTTGAGAACAAACATAACCATTTAAATCAAGTTGCAGCATTTGCATTTTGACGACAATCTCCATAAATTAGTAACATTTTCACTAATTCATTATTGCTATAATTATGAACCATTTTTAACAATAATTGAGGCACAAAAAACTGACATTTTTCATTGCTAAATGTCAATTTGATTTAAATGGTTATGTTTGTTGTCATATATGACATTTTGCATTGTTTATTTTGTTATTTTTATTTTTATGGTTATGTTTTTTGTTAACAATAGCCAGGACCGGCTCAAAATTTAATTAAACTTGGAAGGCCTATAACTCTCTTATTTTTGAGTTTTGATAAAAGAGTTACTTAAAATATTTATTTGTTTATCTGATTTCTACACGCTGTTAAAAGTAACGCGTCAACTTAAAACTCACCCTGTATAGACATAAAGACTAAAAATGTTAATTTTTTTCTGTCCTTTTTAGAAAGTTGAGCCCGCAATTTTACTTGGTCATCTCTTATTCTTCTGCGTCTCTCACGTTCTGCTTGTCTTTTAGCTTCGTTGGTCAACTTGTTTTGTGGTTTGTCATTTTAATTAATTTCCCACTGAAATGAACAATTTTAAATTGGTTACTTGTAAGGGACACGACAATGACGAGCACGGTAATGATGATTTTAAGGTTCAAGTGTTTTACAATGTTTATTCGAAAATGTAATTGAATTTTAAAGTTGCCATTTGCTTTTGTTAATGCACAACTTCTTTGTATTAATGTTAATATTTTGTATGTCCATAAACTTTGAAATAATACTTACCCCGACAATGACGGACTTAGACGTAACAAGCCGTTTTCGTTTTCATTCGGTGCACGTGACAACTTTATGGTTTGACATATGCTAGTGGACGTTATACAGGTAGGATATTTACATATTAGACGTTCGAAAACTTCCGGCATTTTCCGAATGTATCGCGTATTTAAATATGAAATTATACACATTTTAAGTAGGCACAGCAATGACGCTCATGGGTGTGAACAAAGTCTAAACGGCATTAAAAGAAAAGTTAACATTTCAAAATGCTATTTCTTGCTTGCATTGTATTATTTTGTATTTTCTCCGTCTGTGTTACACAGGATATTGCAAGATTTAATTTGTAAATAAATGTAAGAAAATAATATGTTGTTGTTCTTCGAATGTGAACAAGGCACGGTAATGACGTTTGCGACACTAAAATTAAAATATATTTTTTACTATGCTCGTTTAGACTTAAATAAGTAAGGAATCAAGTAAAAATAGTTAATTAAACTAGACATCAATTATTTTATTTTTAGTGGGATATTAACTTTTGAAATAACAAGCCAGAACCGATTGAATTAAACTTTTGAAATATTCACCCATATGTTATATTATAGGTTGTGTTCATGAATTTATTCTACAGTGACCTGTAATTTTACATTTTCTTGGCTGATTTCATGCTAAACGCGATGGAACCATTCTTCATATGTAATTTCAATGCATTTTCATTATTGTACGGCGGTGTATAATAATTTTACTTTTGAACTACGTACAAAATGAAGTATTTCTATATAGTAGGCTGATTAAAAAAAATCGATTATTTTTTTTCAAAATCCCCTCTGACATAGATTCAGGGAGATGAGAAGAGATGCCTGTAAAAACCTGAACTATTAACAATAATATTTAGAGGTCGCGCATCGTGATTTTTCTATTTCCATTATTAAATTATTTTTGAATTTCAGAATGTTATGCCTTATTAACTAATTGATGGATTTAAATGAACATAACGTATTCTTGTAGGGAATTGAACGTTCTACAAAAAATGTCTCTTATCATGATAAACCTACTATAGTTTAAAAGTTATTCGAATTAAAAGTTAAATTAAGTACTCCAGCTTAGTTTAACTAACTTTGGGCCGCTGATTTCAAAAATGTAATTAGTTTTCCTCTAGGACGTCTAGGATTTAAAATAATTTCGTAATAAAATGCTCTGCTCCATCATCTCAAAATGTAAGTTTTTTGTTGGTATTTTAATTATTTAATAATTATTAAATTATTTTGGCTTAAATTTATCTTGCATGTACTAAAGTAATTGGTATACGGCAAATAGATCATATTTATCTTAACAATATGACAATTTAAATACTAAAACTAAAATTTTAATGTATTTTATGTAAAAAAACAACCATTATTTGACATTTTTTGTCGTTTATTTTAATTATAATTATTAAATTGAAAGGGCAACAAAGTAAACAAGTTTCAGTTTTTTTATCCAAATTAAGCCGTCAAAATTTAATGCATTGAATAATTTTGCTTTTTTCTACCTTAAATTTATTAAATCATATCAAATATCAAATTGGATTATAGTATTATTGTGCTTAATCCTCATCATCGTACATCTTTTGCTGCAAATTCCAGCAAATGTCTCCTAGCAATTAATCCAACTTTTTTCTGCTATACCCATAGATATCTAACCATGGTCTAGATTTGCAATTACTTGGAGAAATCGTTCTCCATGTTCATCAGTTCGGCAAATTTATCAAGATGAAAAAAAAAAGAAAATGTATTTTAAATGACATATTAACGCTAATTCTTTGCAAAACGGAAAGCATTTTTTCAATGAATTGGCGCCAATTTTAGGTCCGATATGGACCAAGAACATTTTCAATGACAGCCATATGCGACAAGCTCGTCAACTTTGAGAGCATTTTTGAATGATTGATTTTTCATTAAACGTCGTATATCAGGTCCATTTAATATTTCTGCAAAATTAAAGTACCTAGTAGGTATATCTCATAAAATTTTGTAATGAAATATTGCGTTGGTTTTTCTTGGGCGTAAAGGTACCGCAACAAAAACAAAACAAATTTACAACGTCGACATAAATGTTCGTCTCCTTTTTCTTTCTCTGCTACTTTTATTACCACTTCCATTTCCTGCTCTTTTTCATTTTTGGTTCTTAAAATCACTTTCAAGTAAAAATACAATTTAAAGTTTAAATTTTAAATGTCAATAATAAATAGATGCACTTTGGTGTGCTTGAACGATAAAGTAGATAAAGGCGCTTTTATACTTCAATTCGATATTAAGTTTTGATAAGACTTAATAAATAAGATTCGAGATTAAATTTTTGGGTACTTTAGGCATGATGTGAATAAAAACATATCAAAAAATAGTCGAAGAGTATAGTATAGTCGAAGAGTAATGCTTAAGCAGCAAGTATAATTATACCGAAACCCATTTACTTGGTTGCATTTTCAATTTAATTAGTAATTAATTAGTAATTAAAAAAATTCAATTTAATTAGTAATTAGTAATTTAATTAGTAATTAAAAAAACGACACAAAAATTTCAAAATTTACCAAAAAACATTATAATTTTAGCTTTGGTATTAAATAAAGCACTTCTCTGCAGAAAAGTGCTTTATTAAATATAACTTATAAAATACTACCATAGTATACGGCTACAATGAAACAAACAAAATTTTTATTTGACATTTATCTACCGATGACTTTGTATGGAGTCACTGCATATTTTTGGCAAAAAACGCCAAAAATATACTGAACATCCAAAATAGATTTAAGGCAAAATAATTTAATAAATAATCAAAATATTAACAAAAAACTTACATTTTGAGATAATTGGCCAGAGCATTTTATTACGCAATTATTTCGAAGCATAGGCGTCCTGGAGCAAAACGAGTGGCATTTTTTAAATCAGCAGCCCAAAATTAGGTAATATAGGTGGGCGTACTCAATGTTAGTAAATCGAACTATCAACACAGCAAACGGAAAATTATAGAACTGTATAGGATGACTCCGCGTTTGAATATTAAATCTTAAAGTTTTATCAGAACTGTATTGAATCGTGCTTTGTTTTTATATTTTTCGGCTCTATACCTATGCACGACTTTATTTAAAGTCAAACTCAATGGTGTCTTACAAGATACATTATTTTGATTTTCTATATTCAACAGAGGAGTAGAAACTCGACCCTGTCGAATGGTGCAGTCATTTATGTCTCTAGAAATTATTAAAAAAGGGTTCAGTCCAATGGTGCAGCAACTTCGGATTCCTATTCTCTTCAGAGACATAGAAACTCAAGCTTTTCGAATTTTACTGGCAATGATTTTCGTTAATGTCCCCGAGAATTATACAAAAACAGCGCAATGCAATATCGGTTTCGACTCTACCAAGTTATAGAAACTGGAGTCTCTCTAATACTGTTCTAGTCAATATTTTTGAGAGTATAAAAAGAGGGTGTAATTCAATATTGCAAGAAGTTTTGATCTTTTGATGGATGCAAGTAGTTTGAATTTTCTTATTTCTGCATATGATTTTGTTGAAAATAGTTCCTTTCTTTGGTTCCTTTGTCTGATTTTTATTTACTGTAACAACTCAGGTATGTAAAGCACAGAGGATATGATGTTAAGTATATTTATGTATTAGATAAAGTACCTATATTTGTATTAAAAATTTCAGAGGTTATGTTGAAAAAATGATCGATATGCTATTAAACTTTAATAATTTTGTAATGAGGTCTGTTGGTAGACCCTGCACTATCTCCACTGGTATATGTTAGTACAGCAATATTTAAATCTGGTTGATGAAAAAGTACACACCAGTGCAGGTTATTGAAGCATCTACGAACAAATGAATTAATGGCCCATTGGCAATTATTCCTTTAGGAAAAATATTCAACCCAGCTTAATTAATTAATAAAATGAAAAAAATCACAATCATGTCGTATATAGTTTTTTTAAGTATAAAATAATTTTTATATTAATACTAGTTCAAAAGTGAAATAACGACCTCTATACTGTGGAGAGTATTGAAACGCTCGACTGACTAATACAAATCTATACCGTGGGGAGATTTAGAAAACTATATTCGTGGCGTCATCCTATACACTTCTATAATTTTCCGTTTGCTGTGAAAGTGTTATACTATGAATTTAATTATTTCACTTTTTGTCCAGTTTCAGGTAAAATGATTAAAGTTATTATTAAATATTAATAAATAATAAAGAACCCACCATTTCTGAAAAAATCAATAAAAATCCAAGTGGATTTTTGTTGATATTTTCCAGAAATGGTGGGTTTTTCATTATAATTAATTTACAAAACTTGGTGAACTTGTCCATTTTGATTACGCATTACTTTTTTATTTTTAGACCCAACAGAACGTACAGAAATAAAAATGAATGTTTTTAGGTTTGCTCGTACTTCAAGGACCCATTGGTGTGCGTAGGACCCGTAGCCTCCGACCAGATCAAGAACTCGATCCAACACACTGCTGGCGAAAAAAGGCTCACCGGAATGGGGGCCTACAAAAGACCCATGCACTAAGCCGCACCCCTTGCATCCCGTTTAAACACTGTACATTCAACTAAACAATACGATTAGAGCAATGAAATTGCGTAGTACGACCTCAATCTTCTTTAAACTTTTTAGGAAACTTTGTCGGTTTTGTTTGTTTATTCTTCGTATGTTTTGAGCCCTCCAAACGCGAAATAAATCGTACTACGAAAATTTCAGAATTATACATGAGTACCATAAAACTTAGATTTACTGGCTGAGGTAATTTATAGTTAATTAAGGTGTTTAATCATTAATTAACTGGCCTAGGAATTAGTTTCGAAACATATCGTAGTTTATAGAGGTATATGCATACAGTGCATGAGGTTAAGTGTGCTTCTGATAGAGAACACACGGATAAACGTATTTTACAGTACTTCTACTTTAACCGTCTAACTGTGATGATTTATTATGGTGGCACCAAAAAACTATTTTAAACTTGACTGTTGGCTGTTGCGATATGTTGGTTTTTTGAAAGTTTATTGGAAAGTTTTTGGATGTCATATTTAAAACGGTTTTTTGGTTTAGACTTAATAAATATAGGCGCTACGTACGCAAAACGTACGAGTTGATACATATCATACTATACATATCAAATTAACTATATATTGATGTTATATTATATTGTGAAATAAATATTTAATAAATGTCTACAGCAATTATCTCATACAGCTTGTTTTATTTATCTTTTGTGGCAAATAAAACTATTTTTTTATAAATGATTACCTTTATTGATATTTATTTATATTCATAATTAATTGGAATTTACTCAAATACAAAAATTTATACATATAAATACAATGGTAAAAAATGGCCAAATGCTAGGTAGACATGGAATGAAGAAGGCACTATATAAAATATTAAATTAGAAAAAACATGAAATATAAAATTTACATACCTAAATAAATAATAGATAAATGCTTGGAGGAAATTAATAATAATAATATTAGATGTAACACAATCTTAACCCGACATAATTAGTTTTACAAACTCCTCATAATTTACATTGCCTTGGGAGTCTTCTTGGCCTTGAAGGAGTTGCTCAACCTAAAAAATAAAATACTTATGAATATGAATTTGTTTCGTAAATCTATAATAATAGTTCATTCATTTTTAAAGTATAACCTACAAAGATAACAGTGTATTCTTATTAAACTAGTCAGAAAGAAAATAATAATTATTATTTTATTATAATTAAACTGGTCAGTAGACAACAACTTTAAACTGAAAATTGTTGCATTTTTGCCTAAAAAGAGATTTTATTCTGTTAAAAATGGGTTTTTATATATAAATATTTTGTTTTAGTACTTGTTGCTATATGACCAATGTTTCTTGGTTAAAGATTTGATTTAAAGTAGGGTGCTTTTTTCACGACTATTTTTATTTTTTGGCTCCCCTTAAAATCGTGTTCAAAATGTTAAAAAAAATCCTGAAAATTTGAGCCTGTAATATTAACTCTAAGTACTCTCAGAAAGCGTATAAAGATTTCCCATTTAAAATACACATAAACTTTGATTTTTTTTTTAAATATCTATATCTTAGTCGCATTTTATGCTATTGGATTATTCCAAAAAGGGATTTACTTGGAATCAAAAGTTTTAAAAAAAATGCTTTATGTGCCATAGCTGCATATATATATACGAATTTGAATATTTGCATAAAAAAAAAAAATTTCACAATATCTCTAAAACAAAGGCTAATTAAGCAAAATGATATTCATTTTATGAATTAGTGCACACAAATTACTCTAAAAAATAGTTCGTTTTGTTGACCAGTGTATTTAAAGAAATATAACTGTTAATACTGTTTTTATTTTTAAAAAAATTTAAAAGTTGAGTAAAAAGTGTAGAAAACACAAATTTTAGAATTTATAAACGGTTGAATATGGGTATTTCCACGAAACCTTACCCCACCTAATTGCAACGTAATTTATAAGCTTAAAATATTCGTACAATGACGCTAAGAAGCTAAAAACACGGAAGAGTTTCAATACCCTATAAAATGTTCAAATGTCGCACCCGTTACATTTTGAAAAGATTTTAGAAAATAAAGTAAACAATATTTGTGCATTTACAATACGAGCTTGTTTAAAGTTACTATTCAAGTTTTACACAAAAAATTATTACTATATGCTTTCATCCAGTATCAACTTTAGAAGCCAACTTGGTCGCATTTGCCGATTTTCTAAGGTCGCGCCCGTTACGCTATGACGTTATAAAAGGTTTTCTATACAAGTTTTTATTGACATTTTGTTTAGTTAAATTGTTTAGTTAAATACCCAATTTTTTATACTATTTTTTTATATTAACGTATCTTGATATACATATATGAACAAACACTTGATTATCATGAAAAAACGCTTTTGTGTCGCACCCGTTACAATGGAAATACCCATATATAAATTAATTCTGGACCACTTATTATCAACTCTATAGAGGTTTATTTAAAATCAAAATAAAAAAGTCAGTTTGATAGTTTATCTTAAGGATGAATAAAGGTTTATTTATATTTTTTTAAATTTTACAGAATGGCCGTCTCGCTCTATAATAGTTTACAAAAATAGTTTACAAAAAATTTAATTTAATATTTTACCATAAAAAATAATATTTTCTCCTCGACAATTTAATACAGCAAATGTGTGAGTTTACACAGGATGGTCCAATAACTTGTCAAAATTTTAAATTTTTGTTTCCTTTATTTTATATTGGTTGGTTGTATCAAAACAGGAGATTAAAGGTTCGAAAAAAAAACGGTAAAATATTTAAGGATTTAAACCAAAGTATGTTTCACATGTAAACATACACATTTATCCACATTTTTATCCAATTAGAATTTTTTTACTACTGTATTTTGAGTTTTTAAGTGCCTAAAAGTCCGGTCTCTACTAATAATTATAACATATGTATAACAAAAAAAAGTACAACCCAATACTCTCAGAAACTCATTGCCTCAACATAAGACTACTTAAAAACATGTTATTGGTGAAAAAAAAATTTTAGTGATCCACTTGAGAAATTCTGACGCATTTTTTAATTTTTTTTTCAAAATGTCGTTTTTTCAATTTTTTTGAGCAATCTCTAATAATCTCCCATAATATTTTCATTCTAATAAATAACACCCTATTTTAATAAAAACAAGGTACAATTTGTTAATTTTAACAAAGTTATAATAATTTAAATTGTTTTTATAGCAAACTGTCTTTAGGTATGTAATATTTCATACAATATTGACAGTTTTTTTTTAAGCAAAACTCTAAAACTATTTTTTTTTATTTGATTCCATTTCCCAGTAAAAAATCAAAGTTATAGTAAAAGTGCCGGTAAAGTTACATTTTTATTTAAAAATAAACCTTCTTACCTCATCATCAGTAAGTTTTTCTCCTAATGTGGTTAACAAGTGACGCAATTCTGCTGAACTTATGTAACCATTTCCATCTTTATCAAAATGACGGAGACCTTCGATAAAGTCTTCTGCTGTATCAGCACTTCTTGTTTTGGAAATTTGCTAAAAAACAATATTCAAGTATGATGATATAAATTAATAGTTAATATTTTTGCCACTAGGAAGTGCATGTTCTTATTTTTTAATTTAAATTAATCTTGAATTTAATTTTACATACATTATGTAATATTCTAAAAATACAAATAAAATATGTAATATTTGGTTTCTACACATTTTTGGAATTCTACCAAATGTAAAATAGATGACTCATTTAGTGAATAGATAAAAAATATGAAGCACTTTTTACAGATAAAACCACAATTTTGTTATTCAACCAAACACATTAATTACTTTACTTCCCTGATAAAAAATAATCTATAATATACCTGGTAAATTGGTAAAAATACTTCAAATGAAACTCTTTCATCAGGTTTATGTTGATGGGTGTATTTTTTCACATCCGACTCGGTAGGATTTTGTCCTAAAGCCCTTAAAGCATCTCCGATCTGACCCACATGAATTTTGCCATCCCCACGATTGTCGAAAAGCTGGAAAGCCTCTTGGAATTCTAAAAAGACAATAATAATTATTCATAAAAATTAGTTTTTCAAATATTAACCTTCCACAGAGGTGAGGGTTAGTTTACTTGGGGGTTCATACAAGTACATGTTTATTATAAACAAAAAACAACGGAAAAAACGCTAACACAGCACAAAACAATTTGCTTGGAGTGCAGATTTAAAACATCTGCAGTTATTAAGCAAAGTTGTTCCAGAAACTTTCAAAATCATACCATAAAAGGAGAAAATCGACAGCCATGAATCATTTAATGCTTTTTTATGACCTACCTCATTCACTGCAGTGGTTTTTATTAGGTATCAAACTTGTATTTCGATTTTTAACACTTGTAAATCAATGTAGACATTTTAGTTTACTTAAGAAACGCATTAAGCTCGGTTTAATAACTTGATAACTCATTTGGTCGTTAAAATTAACAAAAAATAACTCGAATAAACAAAGATATGTGTAAGAATTTTGCAAGGCGGGGCATCATAACCTAGATATTTAACTGTTTCATGCTTACCGGCCATCTGATCTTCGGTGTAATTAGCCTGAAACGAATAAAAGACATTTTCACTTGAATTGCACGAAAATTAACTGACGGTAACCTAAAATATCGAAAATATTCAAGTTCAACTCACCATTGTATTTATTTCGACTGGAGTTCAACTGTCAAATTAAACGACTAAACGCAGTGACGTTTCAACAATGGAATGTAAGCAAGTCATAGATATGCGCGGGGAATTTGAAAATATTTTGGCCAAGAGTTCCTTAAACTTGATTACGTGATATATCTTTGAAGTTTTAAGAAAATAATATTTAAATAACAATCATTACATGTTATGTTTATTCATGAATTTGAATTTTGATAATAAAAAGGCGATTCAATTAATACTTTATAGCGCAATTTTATTTTTAGTTTTATTAATGGTATATACAGGGTCCTGCAACAGTGCGTCGGGCTTTCCTAGTGCCTTTACAGTGAGGGATAGAAAAAAAGTTTCCTACAAAAAATTGTTGGTTTGAAAATCTTTATGACATTTTAAAGATTTTCAAACCAGCAATTTTTTGTAGGAAACTTTTTTTTCTATCCCTCACTGTAAAGGCACTAGGAAAGCCCGACGCACTGTTGCAGGACCCTGTATGTTACTTCTGAAAACGTCAGAAATTTGTTTATTCACATACAGGATGTTTCACATTCGTGGTCCATTAAAAGTTTCTGTAATTTTAAAAGCGTTTATATCCATTTCTATTCTATTTTTATAAAATATGCTACTTCCGGTTTAACCGGGAGTGACATCAACTTTAAAGTTAACTAATAATTAATAATAATTATTATTCTTATAAAGAAAAATAATAAGAATTATACTTCTTATTCTTATTAGACTTAAGAATTAAGAAATGCTTGAATTTAAATAGAGGACACATTTAGTGTTAAAAATATTCTTATTTTATTAAATTGTTACCGTTAAGCATTCTTTTTACTATTAAAATATTTTATAAAATAAATTTTATATTTTATTGTCTACAATGAGCTAGTGATTTATCTAGTTAACTAAAAATAAAATATTGTATTGTATTGTATTTTTTATTAATATTTCTTGTTAAAAATATTAAATAAAAAAGAAAAAATTCCATTTTTTGTACAGGGTGTTTTCGTATAAATGGGACACCCATATAAAATCTTTATTTAAAGTGATATGATGAAAATAACAAATTTAAAAAAAATAGCATTTTGTTAATAATTGACCCGAAAATATATTTTCGGGTCAATTATATAATATTAACAAATCTGTTATATTGCTAATTTGAACGCGAGAATCATAGTAGCCATGAATAGAGAACTGTCATTTTCTAGTTTAAATAAAATAACTGGTTTAAATAAAGAAAAAAACATGAAATTTTAAGGTTTTTATTAAACAATATTAAACAATTTGAATTGTCAAATAGCACGAAATATTTAAAGTTTAAGAAACTTATTTTAAAAAGCAAAAATTTTATTCATTTTTGTCAATACATTTTCTAAGATTAGAAGATATTTTTGTATGGAATTATGAATAAAATTAGGGTTTACGTTGTTTAACAGCATAATATTTGATGATTTTTTTTTCTTTTAAATGTTCTACATTGGTAGATCTTTCCGAATAAACAATATTTTTTAAATATCCCCATAAAAAAATCTAGGGGGGTCAAATCGGGACTATTTGCAGGCCATCCAATCGTGCCTCGTCTGCCAAACCAAAGATTATATTTATTGCTTAAAAAATTTGTCACTGGCTCAGTCTTATGACAGGGGGCCCCATCTTGATGCCATACAATATTTAAATAATCTATCAAATTCTTCAAGCAAAAGTTCAATTTCATTTCTTAAAAAACTAAAATAGCGTGCGCTATTTACCCCCTTAAAAAAAAATTGGACCAATAATTTTATTATTAAGGATGCCGCTTCACACATTTACAGAAGTTTTGCCTTTGGTGATTTTGTTTACCGGCATTATTTTAAATTTATATTTTTTTAATGTCCTAAAAATTTTATATTTAGATTTTTCAAAATAATTGACAGCATCTTCTATAGATTTTGTGTTTTTTTTTAAATATGTATTTAAGTTTTATATTAATTAAAAAAATATAAAATTTACCTTGAAAAAACAATAAAATATTTAAATCTTCCTCTTCGTTTAAATTTGCTGTCCTTTTTTTCTCTTTAAATCTTTATTCTCTCTAAACTTTCGTTCAATTCCTATAATAGTATATTATGTATCAAGTTTGATAAACGCCATTTTATACGCGAATTTAATTCAGGCACGAGCGAGCTTGCAAGCGAGTGCCTAAATTAATGAGTGTATGGAAAAGTTTATAAACGAGGTGCATACTATACTTTTTTTACGACAAATACTTATTATTATCTTAAAATGATTTAAATCAAAAATTTGTATAGAGCGCCATCTATGAAACAATAGGGGAATCTGTGCGTCACCGTCAAATGTCACATTTTTAAATTTTATAAACACAGATTAGAAAGGTTATATATAAATCGAAATGTAATTTTTGAAAATTGTCAGTTTTTCACAGTGAATGTAAAGAAAATGTTTTATGAGGACTTTACAGTGGAGTCCGTGCCCGAATTTAAGTTATACTTTACTGCCGGCAAAATTAAAAGATCAGTACAATGTTCATATAAACTTTTCAAATATTGGCGTTGAGAAACTATTTAATTCTTTTGTATTTTTGTATTGAGGTAATAAAATAATTTTCACATTTAGTATTATTTTACAAGAAAGGCACTTTATTTTAACGATTGTATGACATTTGACAACTGTCAACTAACTTAAAACTAACTTCAGCCCGTGACTAAAAACCTGTTGCTAACTTCAGCCCGTGACAAAAGCGCCATAAAGCCACAACTTGTCAATGTGTATTTAAAAGGTCACTTAGTGTCATGGAAACATGTACGATAAAGGGCGTTTTAAAGGTGGGAGTAGAAAAAATATTTATGAGACGTCTCATAAACGAAAAAAAAAATATTTTACTAAAATTTAAATTTTGACGACAAATTTAACCTAGAAAGAATCATATGGATGTATACTCAAAATTTAACACACCCATAAGAATTTATTTTTTAAAAATTGGCCCAACAAATCTTAACTATCCAATGTGTATATAGTATAAAATAGATAAATCTCTGACCGTCACTGATAATAACGCTAATAAAATAAATCACACCTAGGACTTAACCTATTCTTTTCCACTGGGCGTAACCGTCAATTAATAACACTTTTGTCTTAATTATCAATAAACCCGACATCAAGGCGACAAATTATATATAAAAGCAAAAATTTCTCTGCTACCAAAAGCAAATGATCCATTTAATTTCACAATAAGTACCTACCTATATAAAACATAACCATGAAATTGTATATTAGGAAATACTGCTTTTTGAGGGAGGATAAATGCAAATTCTCGGACGCCCCCATATTTATTTCCTGCAGAAATCACACGGTAAGGTTGTGCGGTGCAAGAGTACGCAGAAGATAAAGTGCCCACCTTCTGCGTACTCTTGCACGACGCAACCTTGCCGTTCAATTTCCATACAATAGAGAGTTTTGCTTATATAGAGAAAAACAATAATATTTTTAGAAGGGTAGGTATACCTATTCTGACAAATAAAAAAACAAAAAAGAATAATTTATATTGATTATTTCCCTCATAATAATATGAACCAATCAAAAGCCTTGAATTTTCGAATAAATTTCGTTTAAATAAGCGATTCAATCACTAGAACTATTTAACAGCGATTAAATTTTAGCCTCCATATTGGATTTTTGTTTACGATTTTATGGTGTTATTTACAAGTTTTATCAAACATTTTTTAAAAAACAATAAAAAATAAGTTATCTAGTTTACGAAATATCAATTATTACTTATTACATACCTTAATTTAATGGAATTTTCTTTAAAAAAATATTTATAAATTTTGACACATACGTCAGATTTTATGAATTGTCAAATAGTTTCATTTAATTCGAGAAATAATCTAGACGTTTATCACTCAACCTATAAATTTAATCTGTCAAACTATGCTCAGTAAGTTTTTTATTTGATTTTTTTTTTGGAAAATAGTTTCATGCAAAATAATTAAAAATAAAACCCCTCGACCGCTACGCGGTCTCGTGATTTTATTAAATTATTTTGCATTCAACATTTTTCAACAAAAACCAAACAAAAAACTACTGAGCCTAGTTTAACCGATTAAATTCATAGTTTTCGTGATTTAATATATGATTAATTGAATCTTAATCCCGACGCATTCGCCATTTTCGACAATCCTAGGTTATTTGCGAAACACATGTGTTTGTGTTTGTTTGTTTGCTTTAAGCAACGGAGCAGCGGATCAACGTGATTTTTTGCATAGGTACATATAATATTGGCCGGGAGTAACACAGGGTTCTTTTTCCTTATATTTAATAGGTACAATTTTGCTAAAAAGGTGATTTTTTTATTAATAGAAGATAAAAATAATTTTTTTTTAAACCTTTAAACAAATCAATTTTTTTCTATTGGGTTAAAATTTTTATTAGTTTTATTAAGCACGAGCGAAGCTTGCGAGCGAGTGTTTAATAAAAACGAGTGCCTAGAAAGGTTTATAAAACGAGTTGCATTCTATAATTTATCTACGACGAACAGAAATAAGAATTTAAAGTCAATTTTGATTCATAAAAATTTTACGCCATAAAGTCACAGCTTGTCAATGTAGGATTAGATAAAATTATTAAGAAAATATTTAGAATATTTTTTTTCAATTAAAATGTTTAAGAAATCAGAAAATATTTTTTTTATAAAACTTAATTCTAATTGTTAAGTAAATTGTATGGCACGCCGTTTTAACATGTATTAAATAATTTTGTAATTTAAAATTTTATTGGTTTAAAATTTTAGGTTTATACATTTATAAATTTAAAATATTTTCAACTATCATGTACTGAAAGACAAAATTTACTAACAGTTCACTTATGTATTAAACGATATTATTTCCAATCATTTTTTAATAAAAATAATTTTTTAATTATAATTTATTTGGGCAGAATTTTGTAAATCCTAAATAATTTTTTTATTAAATTATTTAGATTAAATTGGTTAAGTTAAATTTTAAAATTGTGTCGAGACATTTTTACAATAAAAACACTTTTAAAACATTTTCTACCAAAATATCATCATTTTAATGAC